AGGACCAGATGGTCGGTGTGAATGGGGAAGTTTGTCAAAGAAATTACTAGTAATTCTTACACTTTTGGGGCATCAAACCAACCCAGTGGGATGGGTCCGCTTTTTTGGACTTATGCTGGGGGACCTGGATTTGTGGTGTAGTGTGCTTCGTATAAGCCCACATCTCTTTATTGCCCGTGGGTCTCGCCGAGGATGGTAAAGAAGACGTAGAACTAATAGATATGTACCTCAGGACACTGGAGAAAATGAAATGGAGCCTGGAGGGACTTGATGGAAGGGAAATAGCCTCATGAGGGAACAGCAACAGACAAGAACCACTTGAGGTCAACAGGGCGAAGCCAACGAAACCGGCCACGACTCAAAATGGCCCGGCCAGCGAAGCGAGGTAGGGCGAGACAGGCCCTAACCGGCAGGTTGACGAACCTATGATGTCTGTAGTTGAGATATTGCGCCTTTAGCGGTATGGATGGGAGGAGAGAAATTGTCCATGTGTTCTTTTCGACTGAAGGGGGTGCTAGATGTGTTTCTAGGCAGCTTGGGAGTTGGGGGGAGGCAGATACTATCTGACGTTTACCTGATGTTCTCGAAGAGATGGATGGAAAGATCTGAGCCTCATAGCCCACACCTTCCGTCACCAGTCTCGGTGGCGAAGGTGGGTGGGAGGGTCGGCATTTGTAGTGGAGTGTAGAATGGGTTTCGGAGTGCCGACCACCAGTATCAAATAACTGTTGAGGTTGCTTTTGCGATGTTCTATTTTGAAGACGTACTTGACAATGTAACTCACCTTATTCTGAAGAATTGGACGAGTTTGTATTCTACAAGGGGGCATACATACCATCTGATGAGTGGAAGACCGCCGAGGAACGCTCGAAATGAACTCGAAGCTCAAGTCTAACGCTGGCCTCTAAGTAGAATGAATATCCTCCTCGACCAAGGATCCTTCGGACAGCTCGTTCTAGGAAGTGTCTGTGAGAGCCGCCCTGTGCCTGGCCCATGTCATTCGGATATATCCGTGCAGAAGCCGGACGTCTTGTTTGAAGTTGCTACACTCGCAATCATATGTGGATAGATATTCTTGCTTCTTCCTCTAGGGTGCTCTCGTAAACTATTGAGATGTTCCCTCAGATTCCTCGTTAACACACTACGCTGGAGAACCAACTCGCCTCGTCGTGTTAAATTAAACGCAACAACAGCATTTCCTTGCCCCTGCTGCAGCTAACGAGTGCAGGATTGCCATGTATCGCGTCATGACTCATTTGACCTGAAAACAGAGCCGCTTAATGGAAGGATTTCGGTCCTTCCGCCGATCTCTTAATTCCTATGGGTACGACTTAGCAGCGAAGAAAATTCAGATGAAGTCGGCTAGCACACCGGAGTTGCGTAATGGCGAAGCGTTTCTTGTGTCGATTAGAAGATCCGGGAAGAGAAGGTCCATTTGCGTCATTATATAGAATACCACCACTGCTTCTTCCCCCGGATCATGATGAGGCAATCGTCTATCAGAGCATCTCCCGGCCCCCTTGGTAAGACTCTTTTGGACCGGCACAAGTCATATTTTCAGATTCGATGTACTTTCCAGAATGTGCCCAGAAAATACGTTACACGAACAAGAGGTGTTGAATGTGCTATGGTCACTGCCTCCTTTCCTTCCATATATTGGCGTCCAGCCCGAGTCAATCACTCGTTCTATCAGCCCTCTACCAGCCGATAAGGGAGCCGGTAATAGCCTTGGGAGTGCCCTCAGGCGTGAGAAAAGGAATGTTTAACAGTGAGAATGGGGGGGTTGAGGGTGGAAGTTTGCTCATTGCAACGAGAATGTAGTGCTCCAAACGAGGCGGCGTCCCACTGTTAGCGGATGGAAGGGCTTGACATGGTACGCAAGTATCGCCGTTGTATGGATGAAATATCCCTGGGATGTTGTTTATGGCGTCTCGAAAACCCTACTGGAACGCGGTTGATGATCATGAGAGATGGTCTACATAGAAGCCACAATGTTGATCTTCTCTATCTTCGACGTAGGTATTTCATGTTCGCGACTCGATCTATTTTTTCTGACCTGGGCGCCATGATTCATACTTCTCAATGCTCCAAGGCATGAAGGATGGTCTACATTCCTACAAAGTGCTATGCTAAATATTTCCAGGTCATGGAAGTTGAAAATCGATTACGAATCTCGGGGCGCTCTTCATATTTCCCACGGGCCTTCACGAGAGAGAGGGGTATGAGGAATAATGTGACTGCACGACTTGGATCGCTGTTGCTTCTCGTCTTGGAACCACTCCGAGTTGGTCATCTGGGAATGGCGCTGGGGCTCAATCTTGAGGAAGGAAGGTGAGGTCTTCGCGACATCTTCCTCCACCAAACCCATAGGACCGCGTCAGAGGTTGATATGCTATTCGCAATCAGAACCGGTAAGACTCATGGCGCATATAGTGCAAAGCCAATCAAAATGGACCGAGTCAATCTCTTGATCAAACGTCAGCGCTGCTATATTGAAAGTTGGGCTCCCTTCTCCTTGACGGCCGCGTCCCGTCCTAGTTCTTGGCCTCCTCAGACGCAATACCCATCTCCACAATTGCCGAGCTACCGGTTTAGGCTTCACCTAGGCTTGGAGTGGTCAGCGAGATCGAGGCCTAGTCTCTATAGAACATCAATGTTGAGTTCAAGGGATGACTATTTATTCTTTGAGAAACCTCTACTCTCGCCTGGCCGTGGAGAGATCAAAGTCGTGATATGGCGTCGTTTAAACGACTCGACCTCTGAGAGAGGGCATGAAATTGGGGGTCTCCCGGCTAGGACATGGGAGCAGATAGGTGCAGAATACCCACAGGGGCAAAACCTAAGGAGGGCGGGTGAATATGCCATCCACGCAACTGAGCAAAGCCTCCCTACCTAGTGTGTTGGGTGTGATCAGAAGCGCCGGGGAAAGCCTTTCTGTTTAAACCGAAGGTTTCACTCTGAATCGAAGACTAGGAACTCATCGAAGAAGAGCCTTAGGCAGCTCTCGCTAAACATCCTGACGTTGAGTTCGGTACTGCAAGAATGTATGGAGTCCGTCGACTTTGGTGACTGGATTTGCAAGCCGTTCGCGATGATGATGTCGTCGGCATATTACAATATAGAGTGAGACGAAAATAGAAACTTCTTCAGGCGAGATAGGAAGCAGGATCGAAGCTATGTCAAGACGTCTCAAGGCCGCCGCCGAAAGGGCTGAGGCTTGTTTGGCAGGCTTCCTTCCATAACCACTACGAACTCTGCGGAAAATCTCACTACAGTAGCCTCATCCTGTGAACCGTCCAGAAGAACTTGACCCATCAGGGGTAAGTGTGTCAACAAGCTCCTTTTTAGGTCCCGCGACTAGTAGATGCCAGTGATTATCGCTGATTATATCTGAGGCCCAGGGACGGCGCTACTCGCGGGAGAAAACCTACGAGACATGGGTCAAAGGGGAAGCGAACCTCCTCAACACTCGCCGAGAGCAATCCCGACTGACAGAGAGACCGGCGAGGCCCGGCTCAAATGTCCTCCTGACATCCCAATTGAAGTTTCTGGGCAGCCATCGCTCCATCGATAACAGCAAGGTTAAAACTCGGCGCGTACTTCGCGAGCTCTTCCGATGCAGCGAGCGAATCAAAGTCCCAAGACGACCGACAAGCTCGCCTCTCCCTCCCAAGAAGGAATCGGTCACAATATGCCGCATCCTCTTTTCTCACCATCCTCTTTTTGATTGCCCCCCCAAGACCTCGAAGAAAAAGTATTATTGGTGAAACTAAAATTTCGCGATAGCGAGGTTGTCGTCCATCGTCGCCCAGAAGCTTCGGCCATGTGCTGCGTTGATTGGTCACCAGGAAAATCCGCGGGTGGCCGGGAACTCAACGTCGGAGGGCGGAGTGTAATGCTAGGGAGCCGCAGATCGAGGGAGCCAGCCAAGAGCCCCGTGGACTGCTCAATGCCAGGACGTGCTTTTGATCTCCCATGTTACCGGTGCTGATGGCGGTGAGGTGCACATACAATCGTGTCGTCGCTAAAGTCTCTAGTAATTTTCCGATGAATGGCCCATGAAAATTGAAGAGTCTCTTTTTCCCTCAAGAAACAACAGGCTGTTTCTATTTTTTGTTTTTCTTGATTTTGAAACAAGAGCCGGGCTGCCGGGAGCCAAGCCGCACGGGAACGCTGAGAGAGTCGGGATCGTCTCCAGTCCAGGTGCAAGTCGCAGGTTGCAGGTCGCGGCGCTAAGGCACCAAGGCACGCTGTCACAAGGCACAAGTGCACAATTGATGCTGGCATGGCAGTTACGCCTGCTGGTTTAGGACGTGGGCGTTGAATCAGCGCACTTGTCATTACGTCAAAGTAGAGCCAGACGCCCTAACAGCTTCTTTCCCCACCACGCTCCCCAGCATTGCGCATTGCAGCGGGCGCCCAACTGCCTCGTGTTAGTGCATCATAGTGCATCAATACATGGATACGTCGAGTGGTCATTGTTGAAGCACGTTGTGTACATCGATGCACCCTCAAACAAAGTTCGAGAACGAGTCCTTCTTTCGTACCTCAACTCTTTTCTGTTCTCCTTTATATGTAAACGCTGTGTGCTCTGTGCTCTTCCCCGCCCCGAAGTTTACTTGCGGGTGCATTGTCCGCTCTACAGAGGGCGTGTAGCCCACGCAGACTTTGAAACGCAGATGCAGACCTTATCTTGCATCCATTCCCCCGTTCCCTCCAGCTTGCCACGTTGATCTTGTATCCTTCGACTCTCCCTTCGGCAGCTCTTGTGTCCAGTATAGTTTCTGGCTCACGTCGACTGGCTCTTTTTTCCTCTTCTTGTTTTCTTTTTTTCCCTTCCCTTGCTGAGTGAAACAAGCTCCTGCTGCCGTTCAACCACCTCTTGCAACAAGTCCCCTAACCCACCGACTCGCCGAACATCGGCGCCGTCAACTGTCTCAAGTCTACCACACCCAGAAGCGTTCCTTGTGATAATATCAATACCTAGGCCCACCACCACCATGGCCACGGCAGTCGCTGCGACTCGGGCGCCCGACAAGATCGAAGAAAACTCCAGTGATGGCTCGAAGCTCAGGACATTTATTACCATTTTGAAGAAGTAAGGCGTTACCTGGGCCTTGAAATTCACTTTGTGCTGCACATTCTTCTGAGGGTTGCCAAGACGGCATGCTAATGGTAGCGCCAATAGGTTCATTGGTGTCGCTGACCTCGCTAACGTCCGCTTCTCCCTTCCTTCTCAGCTTTTGGAACCTACTCCCAACCTCGAGTACTGGAACTATCTCGATGCCCCGAATGCCTTTGTCGCCATCGGCACGTCCGACGAGCCGCTCGATCGTATCCTCGAGGTCTTGCGGTTTTGGTTCACAAAGGATTTGAAGTATGTGAAGGGAAGGCCTTGCAAGCCTTATAATTCTTGCCTCGGCGAGTTCTTCAGGGTATGTCATGGAACCCTAAGACTCCTATTGCGGTTGCGACGACGTCAACGACGTTGTCGAGCCTGCCCGCTACGATGCGCTACCCCAGGTAGTATTAGTTAAATGCACCTAACTAACCGCCTTCTTAACAGTGTAACTGGGAAACTGAGAACAATGCGCCGCTCATCTGCACTAATACCCTCAAGGGCACTGCCAGCGGAGCCTCAAGTGTAAAATCTAGCAAGTCCGGCTCCGGCTCCGGTTCTCCCAAGAATGTCTCGACCGTCTCCCTCTCCGTCCCTCAACACCCACTCGAGCCGCGCCCCGAACACCTGGTCAGGGTATCCTACCTGACCGAGCAGACCTCCCACCACCCCCCCGTCAGCGCTTTCCACATCAGCTGCCCCGAGAGGGGACTCACGGCCCGAGGCTTCGACCAGATCTCGGCCAAATTTACGGGTACCACGATCAAGGTGTCCCCTGGCGAGCATAACATGGGCATCTTTATTACTCTTGACAAGAGGGACGGGGAGACGTATCAGCTCACGCACCCGGCGGCGCATCTTGGTGGATTCTTTAGGGGTAGCCTGAACGTGTCCGTCTCTGAGGTTGCGTACATTACCTGTCCCCAGACGAAGCTCAAGGCCATTTTGAGCTACGTAGAGGAGGGCTGGCTTGGAAGGACTACCAACAAGGTTCACGGTGTCATTTTCCATTATGACCCCGAGAATGACGACAAGACTCGCATCCAGGATGTCCCTGACAAGGATGTCCTCGCACGGTTAGGTGGTCCTTGGAGAGAGAAGGTTGTCTTGACTCTAGGTCCCAAACCCTTGGTAAGCATTTAAAACTTCCTTTCTTATATGAGATAAAATCCTAACTCGCCAAAATGCAGGCCTCACATCCCGTCGAGGACCAATACACCATCATCGACATGGCCCCCCTCTCCGTAGCCCCCAAGGTCCTCCCCCCTCGCGAGAAACAACTCCCCAACGAATCCCTCACCCTCTGGGCCGGCGTCACCAACGCCATCGTGTCAAAACAGTACTCCAAGGCCACCACCGTCAAGATAGAGCTCGAAGAGGAACAGCGCGAGAAGGCACGGCAGCGAGAGCGGGACAATGTCGAGTGGCAGCCCGTCTTCTTTACCCATGTCACGGGTAATGGTGGTAGGCCCGATTTGACGGATAAGGGGAAGGAGGTGTTGAAGAGGGCGCAGGAGGGCAGGTGGGAGTTGGATGACGTCCTGTGAGGGCGTGTGGTGGGGGAGTAGATTTAGTGAAGTTTGAGGAGTTTTTGGAGCATTGCGGGTTAGAACTGCATGGTTACCATGTTTTTTCTGTTCATTTTTCTTGTTTCTTTTTCGCTTCATTTTTACATTCATTTTTTGACCCTTCTTTCCCGCTGGTAACTGATAGTCGACGGCTAGAAAGGGAGAGAGGGATTGATATATATACGGGCATGACAGCCGAGAAACCGCGATGCGTTTCTCGACACTAGAGCAGGGAGGGGAGAACTCCATTCAACATGATATCAAACATACGCTTCTACTCACAAGTATTTTCTCTTCTCCAACGTGACGCAACGTCTATTATCATATCTGGTATTACATATGAGAGTGGGAAATTTGATAAAAAGATAATACACTTGACCGCCTGCTTAGAATGCGGTGTTTTGGTTTTTTCCAACCCTCGTTTTTTTTTTTTTCGGATTTCAGCTTCTCAGCAAACTCATACAGACTCTCTCCCCAAAAAGCCGCAACCCCTACGTCGAGTTACTTTTGCTTACAAGTCAACAAAGTTCTTGACGTTCTGCAACCACCTCTGGTACTCCTTCTGCTCCTTATAGTCAATATAATCGGGAGTAAAAGTAGCAAGACCCTGCGAAATACCCCTCTCCTCAAGGTACTGCTCCATCAACACCTGAAGATCCTCATCAAGCGTAGCGAAGCTGGGACCGGGGTAGGCATCGACGCGGGCGTGCGACGCCTCGGGGGTGGACGCGAAGGCCTGGTTCGCGTCGGCATAGTAGTGCACGTTGTCGACGATAAGGGCACCGTCCTGGGCAGTGCACTCGATGGAGAGGGCGCCGGGGCCCTTGGAGGGCTTCTCGACGACGACGGTGAGATGGGTGGGGGGAGCGGCACCGCCGAATTCCTCGGCGTCTTCGTCAACGAGGTCTTCTTCGGCGGCGGAGCGGGAGGAGGCGTTGCGGTCTTGGCTAGCGGGCTGGTTGTCGAGGTTCTCGGCGTCGTCGAAGGCTTGGTCGTCTTCCATCAAGTCTTCATCCTGGTAGGGGAGCTCGGTGATGGAGAAGGAGACAGTGATCCTAAAATGGGGAAACACGTTAGATCGATGCATATTCCACCAAAAAGGAGAGAGAAGAACGAGGACCATGCGGGATAGAGTAGATCAAAGTTCGAGATAAAAAAGAGGTAAAAAAAAATCAATAAAAACTTACTTCTCATCACCATGCTTCTTCACAAGCTTAACCTCCTCCTTGCCCTCAACATCAACAACCTCAAACTGTCCACTGGCCAAGAAATCCTTGATGCTAGCGGGCATCTGCTCCTCCTTGGAAACCTCCTCCTCGAACTGGATCTCGCTCTCGAGCTTCGCAGAGAGCTCGGCGTCGACCTCGCTCTTAGACGCGCGGAGGGCGGAGGTGGAGAAGGAGTAGGTCGCGCGAGGGAAGGCTACGCGGACGGCCGCGGTGCGGGTAGCTGGGAGACGGGCGAGGAGGGAGCTGGAGGCTCGGGAGACCCTGGGGAGGGCTCGGGGAGCGGCGCGGCTGAGGGACCTGAAGGCGAGCATTGTGTCGGGTATATGGGGAGGAATTGAAATATTAAAAGTAGAGGATGTGAAGAGAGGGCGCGGTAAGAGGGGTGGATAACACAAGACGTTGGTTGATGAGTAGGAAGAAAAAGTCGAGGTATCGCGTTGTTGGAAGTTTGAGGCCAAGCTTGAGCTTGTCGAAAAATTTCCAACAGATTTGAGATGTCAGATCAGACTTGGTTGGACCCGCCGAGAATTGACGACGATGACAGGGGTACGACAATGACGCGGATGAGTCAGCAACAGTAGAACCTTGGTGCGAATACTGAATATGAACAATATGAACAGTGAAGTGAAGTGGTATTATGAACGATTTTTACTCTCAACTGAAATGTAGACTTGAGCATCTAAGATACCCGGACAACGCTCGTAGGTATAAAACAGAATAGTCAACAGTCAAGGACTTTCCCTCTGACTCCTAGAAGCGCCTCTAACAATGCAGCCGCCCATAAATTCCATTCCCCAGACCCAATCCCCAAAACGCCGTAATGTAATCTTGTACAAAATATAAACTGGCTGGTGCAATACTCCTGACAGTCGTGGTGGTGGCCAACCCTTGCTCCTTCGTTTTAGAGAAACACAGTTCTGGAATTCGCACCTTATCTATGCATGAATCGAGACAAGTCCAATCGCACATGCACGTTGGCTCCAACATAAGTCGCGTTATCGCCATCAGCCTCCGATTCTGTGTCGGCGCCCTTATCAATAAACGGGATTTGATCCTCGCTGCCACACATGTTGAGGGCCGCAACCTCGTCGAGATCCACCTTGGGTAGGGGAACAAAGGCCGGGTTGACGGGAAGAGAACCAAGGGATGATCTCCTCGGCTCGCATGCTACCGGCTTCCTGTTTCCCGCGGAAGGCATCAAAGGGGATCGCGTGCCTCGCCGCAGGGCCTGGCTGCCAATCCTTTGCAGAGGCGTCAACATTGACATACCGGTGGATGGGGTGGCTGTCATGGACCTAGACAGTGAAGGTGTGAAAGTCGAGCTCTGCGAAGAGACGGATGACGCAATGGAAGGACTAGGCTCGCTATCTGCCCTATTCTGACTCGAAGAGCCTGGTTGGTAGAAGAATTTTTGCAGCGAGACACGGTTGGTAGATGAAAGGCGAGGCGGAGTCGACGTGGGACGATCCGGCAATTGCGACGGAGGACAGGACACCTCGTCCCGTTCAGCTTCCTCCTGCTCCGGTTTTTGAAGCGAAGAGACGCCGTCCTTTTCTGGCGCCTCGTCTTTGTTTTTTCGGGCTTCCTCATCGTAAATTTCAATTGATCGTCTCGACTGTGACGGAAGGCCCCATCCCTCCCAAACAGGCAAGGTCTTCAGCGCCTCCTCAATCGAGTCATCCGAGAAAATGTGTGCCTCATATTTAGAGGGCACTGATTCCTTGGCGGAAGGTTCAGGCAGGCTTGGTTCGGAAACCTTGGGCGAAAAGAACTTGCTATGTTCGGAATCAGCACCGCTATTGTTGCTCGCATCTTGCTCGTCGCTAGTACAGAGCCGAGCCTTCTTTGTCGGCCGTTGAGATGAAGGGGGTGGCGTAGCAAGGGTCGAGTGCTGCACTCTTCCGCCGCCCGTACCACCTCTTCGCTGCGACGTTGTTCGATCGTAGTTGACTCTAGAAAGGGCAGACGCCACTGTTTCCGTCGGTCGTCGCAGCCGAGGTGGCGTTGTTCTAGAAATTCGGGTCGAAGGGACTCCGCCTCTCTGCGCCACCCTTGCTGGATCAATATATGGCCTTGGGAGAGGATACACGCGCGGGACAAGGCCGCTTTGAGTTATCTCGGCGATGCGTTGAGGATCCACAGCAAATCGATTTCGGTCCATCTCGCCCATAGGAATCCGGCTGGTCTTCTTGAAATACGAGTTGATCGGCTTCGGATCCCGACCGTTCATAGACTTCGTGCTCTGCGGATGCGTATTTGCGGGAACGGGGTGGATCGAAATCGATGATGCACGCCGTCTCTTGGGGGATGGAGCCTGAACAACGATGGGTTGTTTCGTGATGGGATTTACATCTCCTGCGGCAATGGCGCGTGCTAGATCAGGCTCGACATGTGCACCGATGAAAGGAAATTTTTCGGCTTCGTTGGTAGGGTCTTCCGTCAGGAGGACCAGCTCTTTCTTCTCGGGGCAGAAGACTCGTTGGTGCAGGAACGTCAACTCAGCCTGGTAGAAAGCTGGAAGGTAGTCTTCTGAGGCGACGACCTTCCCTTCAAACTGGAGGCGTTGCACGACCTTCTCTGGCGTCTTGTACTGTCGAAGATAGCGGTAGGCCGTCTTGAGGCCGGTACCTTTCAAGCCCTCCAGATAATCACATCCACTGAAGATTGCCATCCGTCTAAAGTCCGTGTCGGTCCAGCCCGTCAAAGACACTTCGCGGCACGCACAAAAGTCACGGCGATTGATCTCGATACAACCGCCGTATTTATCGAGTTTGGTGATAAGTCGCTTGGCGCCAAAGACGAGCAGGTCAGAGTCCTCGGAGATGATGCCGTCAATGAGACCCTTTCGCTCGAGATACACCAGTTGCGCATCGGCTTCGTAGGGGGCCACGACGTAGGGAATGCCGTGTTTCTTGAGGTCATCGATCAGATGGCGTGCCATCTCGGGTGTGATGTCGATTGACTTTTGAAATTCCTGCCCTGCGAGGCGTGGCTTTCCTGCCTTAATGTACTCCATACCTTTTTTCTTATGCTCCTCTCGAGAACGCTCTCTAGCTGCTTCGGTTCCGGCTTTGCTGGGCAAGAAGTCGCCGTCAAACACGAGATAGGGCTTCACCCCGAAGTGGCTGAGCATTTGGACACGGCTCATGGCGTAATAGACATATCTATTATGTAGGATGACTCGGCGGTTAGGCAACGGCGGGCGAGGGGAAAAGGAGGGTCACATACTTCCGCGTCGGTTTGTCTTGTGCGAGTTCGTTGGCACAGGCGATCGCTCCTCGATGGAGCCAGCCATACGCATCAACGCCGAGGGTCTTGCCATTGTATTTCTTTAGCTGCGATTGCTTCTGGATGGATTTAAGGAGCGGCAAAAGGCCCGACACGCCCATGGTGGGCTAAGAATGGAGATTGTTGACAGTGGTGGAAGGGAAGGGGTGCAGCACGGAAGCGCGTGAGTGAGTCTATTTACAACAACCGAACAATTGGGACGGGTTCCATGGGGAAAGGCGGTCACCGAGAAAGAGCGGAGGATGGGGTTTTTAGCTGGTGAGAGATTGACCGGGCCAGGTCGTGAAGTCCGCGCCGTGAACTGGGGAATTTGGCCGTGACATTCATGGGTTCTCGACGCGTTGGTTTTGATAGAGGTGCCTCGGACGGGGGGTCGCGTGTGGTGTGTATCTGTTCCCCTGTTGCCTGGAAGAGCTTGGGGGGTTCAGTGGGTTCAGCGGCGACCAAGCCGCCTGACAGGGGATGTTCAGTGGGTGGCATGGCAAGACCAAGCTTTAATTGTTGTAATTTTACCGAATTGGGAATAGCTCCACGATATTTCCCGGGCAACGCCTGGTCGGGTTCAAGCCAGCCTTTGTCGGTCAGATCCAGCCGGCGAGCCCCGCTACAGTCCATCACAGCCAAGACGCTGTTCTTGAAGAGAATTAATTACCTAACCCACATCTTCAAGTAAGTGCGGAAAAATTAAATTCAACCCACTTCAAAAGTACGAATGAAAAGACCCCAATTTTTTTTCTTTGGTAGGGTACATAAAAAGCTGTAGACTAGAGTAGAGGTGTCGGATAAGATATCAAGTTACAAGACAAATCGCCAAATCGCTGATACCGACGAGCAAAATGGCAGGGACGTTTGCAAAGACCCGGAAACAAATCTCCAAAAAGCGAGATGGCAACATTGGGGCCCTCCATGAGAACTCTCGCGATTCGAAGCGGCTTCATAGAGCTAGTGTCAGAGACGAGAGACTCAACAAGCTCGCAGCTAGCCGTGGCAAGAGGGAGCAACCTATATGTGCGTCGCATTGATTACCCCAGCTCTTTTCACGAGTAGAATCGTCTCTTTCTTCATCCCGACATGCTCCTGTCCTCAGTAGCTCCCCAAGCTATGAGAAGTATCTTCGTGTGCGTCCCATCTAATAAGAGACTCGACAGTGGACCGCGTCAGTCACCTCAAAGACAAGGTTTCCGAGAATGGATCGAAGCCTTTTACGCAAGAGCAAGTAGAGAAACTTATCCATGAGTATGCCGTCTCCCATCCTTCTCTGCGCCAGATATATTGGGTGCTAGCCCTATGATGCTTAAGCTCTTGGAGCCGGTTAACACAGCCAGCTCACTGCACTCTGAGAGAAAAATAGTATTGACATACTTTTTATATAGGGTTGTTCATCAACATGATGAGGAGTTGAACACGATAAAGAAGGCACGTCGACCCGGTCGACCTCCGAGCACTAAGGAGGACCTTCTGAAAAGAAAAGTCGAAGCGCTCGCATCTGAACATGAAAGTGGATTTTGTGAGTAACCCCGCCGCCTCTTCCCCCCTTTTCCTCCCCCGAATATACCGTGCTTGCCTAATTCTAACATCTTCCTAGTGATTCCCGACTTGACAACCGAAGAGAACATCGGTCGTCTAGAACGATGGGAGGGGTCCTGGTCCTACCTCTGCACCCTCTCTTGGGTCAGAGTCTCCAAAGCAGGCCTCATAAGACCGTCTACATTCCCCCCATCATCGGGAAAACACTGATCCTGTTGACGTGGCAGGGCCCTCCCGCGCGGGTCGCCTGCCCACAGGAGCGTTGCTATGGTACAAGAGGAATGGCAGGGACAGGCATAGTGCTGCCTCTATCCGATAGGGGTACGGATTATCCGACGTTTCTCAGATTCCCCAGGAGATGTAGGCGTAGGAGGTTGCAAGTCTTGGATTTCAAGACTGAGACCATGGCTGGACTAGACTTTGCAGCAATTTATTAGCAAAGGTTTCCGGTTAGCGACAGCGGGAACGCAAGTGGGGTGTCGGCGAACGGCGTTTTTGGGCACAGGGTCGTTTCCAAACTCCGTTGGCTTGTTGTTTCAAAGTAACGGGACTATATATTGTTATCGAACTTCATGTGTGCGTAGAAGTAACCGTCGAACGTTCGAATCTACTATTGACGAGTCCGACTGGGCGCCTCGTGTGACCCGTGTTCTTTCAATAACAACACAACTTCCTTCGCAAGACTATGTCAGCAAGATTATGTTTAGGCCATCGTGCCGCCGCTGCATAGCATCTTGCAGAGCTTTCAGCAACCTGTAGCAGCTACATGACGATGGCCTCAACGTCGCCTCACCGTGTCGACATCCTCACTTCTCTGGAGGTGTCGTGAGACCTCACCGTAGCAGCTTGCGCGGGTACCCCGGGATGCCCTCCTTTCGCGGTTTCTCGGTATTAACGCTGCTTCGGCTTAGTTTCCATCGATCCGTCCTCCGACACAGCCTCCTTGTACTCCCCGTCACCCAGGTACATGCGGGAACGTATCTCGGACAGACGCAGTTGCTTCCCGGAAGAAAAGATGCACATCCGCCTTCGCCCCTGTCGCTCTTCCGAGACGCATATCCAAACGGTCGGGTACTTCTCCTAAAACCATCCCCTCAAAGGGGCGTGTCTCCCGCTCCACCTGCATCCCAAGAGTGCTTGCTGTCAAACTTAACACAGGAACAGAAAGGTAACCTTTCTTTCTCGTCTTTCATACACAGAACAGCAAGTTCACCAGGGAAACCACTTATTAACACTCTTAGCTCCTCAACTGTCACCGATATCTTATCTCTTCTCTCCACTTGGCCCACCTGGACGGATACGCACCTTACACATTGTCTCTCGGTAACATTTCCCCTTGGCCTCCTTGCATGTGGCTACATGCAGACGACATACCTCAGGTCGGCTTCGCTGGTTGAAAGGTGTATCCTGCTTTCCAGAGGAGAGAAAAGAGAGTCAAATTGTGTCAGATGCGCCATATGGAATGATGAGATCGTCCTTTAAAAGTCGATGACCCACTGGGGCGGAGGACAGTTATGTCTCCAAGGACTGTTATTGGCTTGGCTAGTAGCTCAGTCTGTCGTGTCTTCCGCTTGGGAGTTGCACATAATCAAGTCGTAGGATTGTCTCAGTAAAACCATCAAGGTGAATTTCAAATATAACCTCGTCCTACTTTCCAGCAAGGGTCGGAACGAGACTCCTTAGCTCAAGTGTCCAATTCCGTTTCCTGCCCACCTGCTCAAATGACACACATCGTGGAGCTAGGCCACTCTCGCCTCTTCAACATATCAAATTCAATTCCAGATCCCTTCGCGTTCTCGTTCTCTTAGGTAAGACAGAAAGAGGATAAGAACTCAATTTTTTTTTATATACACTCGTTAAATACAACTTAGATACGGATCAAGATGTGCAAATACGTCAAACACCTCCGTATCTGCTACATCTGCGAGAATGAAGACACGGTCCTCATATCGGAGAAGCCTTGTCCGCCAGCCAAGAAAAGTGGTGTCTTCGGCAGCTGTGATCAAGGCATTGCCAGTGGGCGCAACAAAACGCAATACCAATGCTGGAATTGCAAAGACAATGTTATGCGCATCTCCACCCAAGCAACGGGGTACGCGAGGCGGCAAGCTCAGCTAGGCTGAGTGATCAAACTGAGTCGAGCCGGGTTCTTCTCTCTCAGTGTCCTCTTTCTGCCCATGGGGAAAGATAGAAAGAAGTGGGATATATGTCTGTGTTGTTTGAGCGATTGCTTTTCTAAAATACGTGAAATGATGGGCTGAAGAATAAATGATTCGTGACCTGCAGTGTCTGATGCTGGCGTTATATGGTGCCAAAGGTCCCCTTCAAAGGTCGAGATGTATCACGGGCTTGATATGTCCTGGAGCTCGTGAAAGCTGGACTGTTCATACGGCAACCGAGGAAGGGAAGCAATATGAGGGATTCATTTCGAGTTAGATAGTGTACACGTGTAAATAGCACATCCATAATGCTTCCCAAAACCCGGGACGGCGCGAATCGCAGCATCAAGTCAGTCAACAAAACCAGTCCTCACATATAGAGACTCCTACTTCGCAGAAATCCAGGGAAGCCCTCAGCCAAGCACGTTATTTGCCAAGGAAACTTGAGGACAACATTTTGATCAGTATGCACGGCGTTGCATAGAAAACCATGGCCACAGGACGACATACCACTGGTGCCAGTATTATCAGGCTCGACGTAGGCAGCGGCAACGCGGCCATTCTCTATCACAAGGGCGTACCGCTTGCTACGGACGTTTCCGAAGATGGCAGTTCCATCGAAGTCTAAATCGAGAGCCTTTGTGAACGAGGCAGAAGGGTCGCCGAGAAATCGAATCTACATGTGGGAGAAAAAGTTAGAAGTATTCTTCTCGTGGCCCCTGTCCCTCGCCACGTGGGATTTGAGGATTAACTTGCCCCAGTCTGTTTAGCAGGGTCCAGCTGCTCGCCCCACGCCTTCATTCTAGGTGATTGTCAGTATATCGAGAACACTGTTTTTAGAAGAACCCAGCGCTAGGTCAATCCATCCACGGCTGGCAATGCCATCTACACTTACACAAAGGGATCATTGACAGAGACGACAAAGACCCGGCCCACATTCTTGAGCTTGGGATGGTTCATATAGCCGGGGACATGGGTGGTAGAGCAAGCGCCAGAGAAGGCAGCTGGAACGCCAATGATGATACCATCACCGCCATTGAACTCTTCGGCAAGATTCACCTTGTTGCCGGGGGAGTTCTCGACAAGAACGTCGAGGTCGGGGAGGGGGTCGCCGACTCGGACAGCAGCAGCGCGAGTGGTGTGGAAAGGTCTTCGAGGGATTGCGGAGGAGATGGCAGGTCGGAGGAGAGGAAGGCGGGAGAAGGGTGCTCGGAAAGCCATTGTCGCGGTACGAATTGAGCTGAAGCTAATCTTAAGTGGGAGAGTGAGGTGGCCTGGTGGGAGGGAGCTTCCTACTTCGTACTGCTGAGGTTGGATCAATTAAGCGGTGCTGGAGCTGGAGCTGAGGGGCTGGAGAGACACAGAGCTTCCTCCTCCACTACATACAGACAATGGCACTGTGCTGAGCTGACAGGAATGTTCTAGCGTGGGGGACGTGCCACGCATGGCACATTTAGCAGGGAGTTCACGAATGACATCACTACTTCTTGCGGTGTCGCTTCAAATGGATCGATCTCACAATCAAATTGTTTACTCACGGTGGAGGAATTACGATATTGATATACATAATATGTTGACAAAAATTACAAAGTAGACAACCAAGCATAAAACCTATCAAATTAATCCAAGTCGTACGTTGCAGACCGCAACGAGCAGATTGATTATTGTTAGCCCATGTCAGGTACGAAAACTTATAGAATTCAAAGGTGCTTGCTTCCCTCTGCCTAGAAGTACTTCGTCCTCAGTTTCCGGATATTACTTCGTAATTGTGCTTCGGACGAACATACGAGACGAAAGAAACACCAGACAGAGACACGGGCATTCAAAAACAAAGCTTTGTGACTGAGCCTCGATGGTCGGCGTCCCCGACTGCATCTAGAGTTCAGGTTGCCACCAAGAGCCGAAGTAATCAATGTTGGATATTCATTCGCTATGGCGATTTACACCGATATTGGCATAAAGCCGATCCAGTTTTAGGATATCATGCACCTGTCCCAGAACAACGGGTCGGCTTACGTGAGGGGAGCGTGGGTGATTCAAAAATCGTTATTAATTGTACCATCTAGTTGCTGTCTCAATGAAGCCGACTAAACGCCGAGGATTCGGGTAATTTCATCATCAGGCAGGCACGGGGGCTGTTGGAAATCCAATCTGCAAGTACTTTCGTAGGAGATAAGAGCACAGGAGACACCTCTTAGAGCCAGCCTAGCGAGTGGACACTAACAGAGTCAATCTCTTCCGTTTGCCTGGCGTTCAAAAACCCACATGAACCCTGCGACCTGCGCCTCGCCCCGGTTGAAGTGAGTGCTTCGTCCAACCACAACTACACCGAAAGATACCCCTTGCAAGCCGCTCGCCATTCGCCATTCGGGACTTCCCTCTCGAGGCCCACGCACTGCTGCCTCGAACCGCCGCCCATTGACAAGAGACAAGAATCGGAACAATAAAACGAGCCCCTGGACAAACACGTCCTGGAAAATCCCTCCTTTGCCCTACGACTCAGACAAGAAGTCAAAGTATGATCACTTCATCCCACCTGCAGCCTTAAGCCCCTTCGCCATCTCTACCTGACCTCTGCACCTGATTCGATTCTGATCCCTTGATTCGTTCACTAGGCAGGAACATAACCCCTCGACGACGTACCACTCGCTTCGTCGACCCTCTCAACCCTCCTAGACTCAACGCTCTCATGTATATTTGATCGATGCATCCCAGCACGCAGACTTGAGCAGTTCACCAGGTCCAGCCTCTCCATCACACATCACACTTGGAACCTTGAAACCCCCATGCACAGAGACGCTGCACAGCCGGCCAAATCGAGTCATCGAGCCTGATTCCAAGCCTCCAAGTCCCGCTAGCCTCGTCGTACAGTCATCCAGGCTAACGCAACCTTACCGACCCAACTCTTCGCAACTTCAGCGTACCCCACCTACCCTTGCCACACACTACTCCCACCACCACCACCGTCCCGACTGCCTATCCTGATAAATCCGCTTCCTTCCCCCCGCCCCTTCAACACCGCCACCATTCCGCCTCTAACAAGAAAACGAAAGGCAGCTGAGGCGTCGACGGTTTCCCATAGCCATCTTGAACCTAAGAAGAAGATCGCCGCCTTGGTTGCCTCTGCCAACCGTCCGTCGCGCTCCGTCCAGGCGTCCGTCTCCGACGTCACTGTTGCTGCTCCCCCCACACCCCAGACTACCACGACGAGCACCGCCGGTATGGATACGGACGAGGAATACATGTCGACCATGTCGTCTGACGATGAAGTTCTATGCGACGTTGACGATTCTGAAGACGAGGGTAAGCCGAAGAACTGGCCACATCTCGACAGACATCCTGCCCTTTGCTCCCCCTTCTGCTCGCCAGCCCGCGTCCGACGCCACCTCCCTTACGCCCATTTAGAGTGTATGCAACGCTAACATTTGGGCGTCGTCCCATAATGTTTTCTAGATTTCGGCGATGATTTTGATGACGATGCCCCCGACCCCGACTTCGGCCTCTCGGCAAAGGACCTGGACAAGAAGAAGAAGGCCTACGAAACTCCCTTTAAAGTTTTCGAGCCCCTCGATATCCAGCGCCAACAATCGGATATGATAGATGAAGTGAACATGATCCTTGATATTCGAAAGGAAGATGCCGCCATCCTTCTTAGACATTTTAGGTGGCAGAAAGAGCGTCTTCTTGAAGACTACATGGATAAGCCGAAGAAAGTGCTCGAAGCTGTGGGTCTTGGAAAGACTTCTGCCAGCCTGCCGAAGCTCGAGATCGTTCCCGGCTTTATGTGCGATATCTGTTGCGAGGACGGAGACGACTTGGAGACGTTTGCCATGAAGTGTGGTCATCGGTTCTGCGTCGATTGTTACAGGCGGTATCTAACGCAAAAGATAAGAGAAGAAGGCGAAGCTGCCAGGATCCAGTGCCCGGCCGACGGATGCCATCGCATCCTCGACTCCCGGTCGCTCGATATTCTTGTAACACCCGAACTGCAGGGCCGATACAGAGAACTCCTCAACCGCACATACGTCGAGGACAGCGACGTCCTGAAATGGTGCCCAGCACCCGACTGCGAGAACGCGATCGAGTGTCCTGTGAAGAAGAAGGATCTTGTCAGGGTCGTGCCGACGGTAACTTGCCGCTGCGGTCATTGCTTCTGCTTCGGATGCGGTCTTAACGATCATCAACCTGCCCCATGTGAGCTCGTCAAGAAGTGGCTGAAAAAGTGTGCCGACGACTCGGAGACGGCCAACTGGATTTCAGCCAACACCAAGGAGTGCCCTAAATGCAACTCCACCATTGAAAAGAATGGTGGTTGCAACCACATGACTTGCCGGAAGTGCAGGTACGAGTTCTGCTGGATGTGCATGGGTCTCTGGTCCGAGCATGGCACCAGCTGGTACAATTGCAATCGTTTCGAGGAAAAGAGTGGTGCGGAGGCTCGAGATGCCCAGGCCAGAAGCCGAATCTCCCTCGAGAGGTACTTGCATTACTACAATCGATACGCGAACCACGAGCAGTCCGCGAGGTTGGACAAGGACATTTACCAGAAGACGGAGAAGAAGATGGTACAGCTCCAAACTGCTTCCGGAATGTCATGGATCGAGGTGCAATACCTCAACTCCGCATCGCAGGCCCTACAGACCTGCCGCCAGACCCTGAAGTGGACATATGCTTTCGCGTTTTACCTCCAGCGCAACAACTTGACTGAGATCTTCGAGGACAATCAGAAGGATCTGGAGATGGCCGTGGAGGCCCTCTCAGAGATGTTTGAGAAGCCCATTGCTGAGCTTGCCGATAACAAGCTCAAGGTTGAGATCATGGTACGTATGATATTTCCCACATTAGTTTCTCTAGCCCGCGCTGACCGCCCTCCTCTCTTTCTTTAGGACAAGACTGCCTATTGTAACAAACGACGACTGGTCCTCTTGGAGGATACTGCGGTCAACCTCGCTCAAGGTATATTCAAGGCCCAAAATTAACCCCTCGAAAGAAAGATAGAATAGAAAAAAGGAAAAAAAGAAAGAAAAATCGGCAAAGAAAAAAAAAAAAGAAAAATAAAAGGAGATTCATGGAACTAACTTCCGCGAACTCTCTAGGGCGGTGGCAATTTAACATCGACTTCTCCTCCTCAACACCCTCTTCGCACCGAGCATAGATCATGGTCTCTATTTTCCTCAATCACCCCTAGTGATCTTAAGGAATCACTTTCCAGCGGCCTTCATCTTTTATCATTTTTTTTTTCTAGTTTAAGCAGCATTTGAGCATCTGTAACTACTAGTCAAGTTAAAGCTCCATTACCCAACTAACCAAATCAGATCGGAGGGAGAAGGATAGACAGCGATGCATCTTACTATCTCCCACTCCTCTCTCAGATGTCCATTTCCTGACAGCTCCATGTCCATTCACTGCCTTCATTTTTCCTTTCTTCTTCCTGGAGTATGAGGAGGTATGGGCTCAGCTAGGACAGCACAGCTCATCCTTGCTTTTTTTCCCTTCTCATTAGTCTTTCTCACTCAGTCTTTCCTACAGCAGCAGTCGCAAATTGGGATAGACGTCACATCGCTTGTTACTAGCTAATTGCTTTTTTGCACTTTTGCATCAGAAGGGGCCATGCTCTCCAATGTCAGCCTGTTTCGATATGAATCTGGGGGAGGTTTGAATGGGGGTCTAGCATTCAAAAGGTCTTTTATCATGCAGGGCATTGTCTTTCTGGCATGAGGGTTTTTATTTTCTTGGAATGATGGCGAAACAGGAGGAAAGGAAGGGTTGGAGTTTGCCCGCTTGCTTGTTTGTATTTTTTGCTCATTCATCGCTGTTACTTATCTCTCTCTATAACGAGGATCAAACTCCTATCACAAATACACAAAAGAGCCGCCCGCTCTACTCAACAGGCACGAAAAGCTTATCAATATCGGGACCCCAGCCGCCGTCGATGCCCTCGAAGACGATAACGTTGTCCGCAGTCTCAAGGTGGGTGACGAGCGTGCTGCTACTAGTGCCGCCCCTCGAAGGTAGGAACGCAAGTTTGACGGGGGCCTGGTCATTGACCCTCACGTTGGCATAGCGCGTTGAGCTATCTCCGTTGGCATACCTGATCCTCACGGTCGTAACGCCCGCCTTCTCCGTCGTAATGCCCGAAATAGTAACCGAACCGTTGTCGGGCCCACCGACATACCCCATCGCACGTCCACCCGAGCAGTCGCTGCACGAGACGGTCCTCGCGGCGCCGCCAGCCTGGCCCGCCTCGCCCTCGTAGCCCGTCTCGGTGATACCCTCGGTCCAGGTCCCGCCCTCGAGGAGGTTAGGCACCCAGTTGATCTTGTTCTTGAGGGAGACGGACGTGGGGCCCCGGATGGAAATGGGAAGCCAGATGTACGTGGACGAATGGAGGTTGTCGGAGCGCCAGCGGTCGCCGAGGTACATGTAGTTGCCGTCGCCGTAGGGCAGGATGAAGGTTGTTTGCGAAGCGTAGGTGTTGGAGCCGTCGTCGGCGAATTCACGCCAGGGGGACCAGCCGGAGGAGAGGGAAGCGGAGGTGCTGTAGACCTGTTTTTTTATTGAGAAAGCGGTTAGTTCAGGATCGTGGATAAGATTACGGAGCAGGAGTGGGAAAGCGTCACATTGTCATTTGGATCCCAGCCTGTTAGGTGACTACCGAACATGTAGTAGCGACCGTCAACTTTGACCATTGCGGGGGATTCGATCTTTTCGCTCCAGGTGTAGACGTTGCTTTCGACTTTTGTGTAGGTTGGGTCGAGCTTGTCGATTCGAAGACCGTTTTGACGCTGAGATTGGAGTCAGTGGAGGGCTCTGAAGCAGATCTGTAAAGCGTTGTACGCTTGGATCTTACATCTTCAGTTAGGAGATATCCTGAGCCGTCGTCGTCTTTGAATAGGCCCATATCTCGGCTCTGGAAGCCAAGGGGCCGGAAGCTACCGTGGTACTCTATACGCAGAGATGAGCATCTATGAATATTCAGGAGTGTCTGTATGTAAGGGCCTCCTTCCGAAACTCACCGTATTTCCCGCAGACACTATCCCCAGTCGCCACCCCAACCTTCGCATCACCGTAGTCCCGGCTATCTATATGCATCCACAACGCATACTTCTTCGTCTCATCGTTGTAGATAACCTTCGGCCGCTCAACGATGCGGTCGGGTCCGAGGTCGCCGCTCGATGTTCGACTGAGAAGGGCTCCGACGTACTCCCACCTCACGAGGTCGGTGCTCGAGTAGCAGTTTACATTCTGGAATGGGGTTCCATCTGTTTTGTCCTCGCCGATGAGGTAGTAGGTTCCGTTTTCGGCGATTATGCCGGCGCCGTGGGCTTGGATGTGGCGACCGTCTGACTATGCCTGGTTACTGCTCTGCCCGGACACAAGGGGGGGAGAGACTAAGAATACGTACGGCGGTCCACGTCCCGCCAGGAATGATCTGGAGGGAAGCTTGGGTTAGCGGTGAGAAGAGGAGTAGGAGGGCTGAATACGGAAGCATCGTGTTGACTGGAGTTGGGCAGCCAAGATGACGATTCGACTTCGGAATTCAGGGACGCAGAGTCTTGGAGGTCCTAGGATCGAATATATATATATATATATATAATTTTTACTAACTCACTTCTCACCTTACCTCACCTGGGTTGAAGCCTAACCATTCATATGTAAACGGAGCTACTTCATTTGGGATATAAACCGCTGTCTAGTCATAAGGATATTCCCGGGACGAGACCGGCAAGCAATCTATCCAGGGGTAAGATCTTGCCTGCCCGAGGAGGAATACATATTGGACTTCTCGATGGAATATTGATGTCCACCATGGAGGGCAACTTAGAATCTAATCCGGTCCCAACCACGGGGGGACGTAGCATCTAGCATTTAATTCCTACGATGAAGATAGCGTAGCAATCACCTGCAACGGGGGTATTGCTCCAAACTATGCGGGGAAACAGACACTCGTCGAAGCGGTTAGCGAGATTGGGGAAATCAGCATGGGAGCACCGGGTAAAACGGGCAGAGAAAGTCTGGCATGCTCTATGGATGGCGGGTTCGATGTAAATTAAACCATCTTCAGGCTTGAATCGCGCAGTCGAGCGGAGGTATCGACACAGCTATTTTCTTCGGTGTTCTTGGTGCGCTTCAAGTTCCTAGAATCATCAGTTATTTCCCTGGTGTTGGATCCCGACACAACCACGGAAGAGAATATGAAGTCCTTTCCCCAACGCGGCGGATAGTTTGTTGTTTCGGGCCCGTCCCTTTTAGACTCGACTGTTCAATGGTGATTCAACGATGGGTTTTTTCTCCTCACCAGTCGCTGTAACGAGCTTTCGCGGAGACCCGAAAACGGCCAGCATCATCATCATGTAAGTTACGGAGGCGAGCCTCTCCCCACTCAATCATCCGCGCGAAGACACGGGCCGTTACCTGAGGCCAAAGACGCCTCGAGAATGCTCAAGTTCGGATGCTGACTCGGAGTATTTGAATTCAAGAGCTGGTGGAGGCGGCCTTCTTCACTAGGCTCTAGCTTCGGGATATTTCCCAGCTCGGGTTTGAGCGATCCAAGAAGCTCATCATGACCTCGCGGCCCCCGGCCCAGCAGGAAGGAGAGAAGCAATCCGGCCCATTCGGTGGTGGCCCTCGAATGCTGGCACATTCAATGAGGTCCAGCGAGGGTATGCCGGTCTCCTCGCTCATGATGTTGAGCCTGACGACCCGGCCTTCTGATATGATTCCAATGGCTAGGCCACAAGACACGCACATGGCCCCCATTCTCTACTCTCATGTGTAAGCTTGTGTCATCACCACAGTCACAGGGCCCGTAATTATCGGCATCCTTGTTCAAGTAAAGCCTTCCCTCGGGTATTAGCACGGAAATCTACGATGGCAGTGTCATCCTGGAGCGTTCTTACTGCGCTACCTGGGGGATCGGGGTTGACTGGCGCCTGGGTGAGGACGATCCCCGATCACAGGTGCTATTAAAAGCGTTGTCATATCTTTCTGATCGCTGCAAGCTTGTGCCTCTAGGCACCTTGATCTCTGGCTATCATTTCTCTCTTCTTTCCGTACCAACACACCTCAAGGCCTAACCTTGCGCCACAACGGGACGTTGCCGGCGATCAAGTTAATCGTAGGGCAACTCGTCGCATTAGGTTAAAGGACTCCTAGAGCCTGTTATGGCTTGCCCTTGCGATTGACGTAATCTGCAAGCGAGACAATTCCTACAATTGTGATACATCGCGGTGCTACCGAGCATCTATCCAACTTCGCCCTGGGCAATCTGGCTTCTTCTCGACACAGACATACGGAGAAAAAGCAACGTGACGGGCCCGCCGGGGCTGTTTTATGTTCCTGCCCTTGCAATCATACTCTCCCGAGAGTGCGGCCGAGGCTGGTCACGGTTATCCGAGTCGATACTGAGTGGGTTGGGACGCAGGAAACAGTCGATCCGCGTCGTAAAAGAGCAGTGAAGTGAACACAGGCAGTCCTTGTGCTCCTTCTCTTTTTCTTCTTTCCCCATCCCTATCCTTTTGCTTTATTTATTTACTTTATTTATATTTTATTTTTATCTCAAATAACGCGTTAGATTATTACTGCGGTTTCGAAACATTGGGATCATCGTGCAACAGCTCGATGTCACCGCAGAAGGATTGGTGGCCTGGCTGCATGATGAGAGGCGGACCCTTGAGATCCAGATTCACATCAAACCTGTCCATCCTGCGAAGTACTTCGCAGAGTCAGAGGGTGTTGGTGGGTGCGCACAGACTGGGTATGACTTCATGGCTTGTTCTAGTCTTCCCAACGCAGTAAGGCCCACGAAGTACAAATTCTTCTCGTGATAGACATGCACTCCTCCAAGGAGGTTGAGAATCGACCATGTCGAGCCTAGCGAATGATCGATGGACCCGAGAATTACAATACTTCCTCTTCTTCTTGTCCCATCTCCGTCGATGCCGCCCTCGTAACGAGTCCGTTCCGAAGCCTCCGTCTTTATTTCGTAATACAGGTAAACCTGCATTCACAAAGGGGCCTGAGCGGTGGCGTGCGTGCGTGCCTTGAGCAAAATAGACCGTGACCGTGCGGGCCAAATCACACTTGGGAGAATTCAGTCTGCCTGGCACAAGTCACAGAAGGAGAGGGGCTCGCTGGTGGGTGGGAATCCCCTGTCGGGTTGGATCCAAATGCAAGCACTTTAACAGGGGTTGAAGCATCTCGTCAAGAATTGCGAGAAATGAACCCTGGCAGAGGAGATTCGATTCAGGCACAGGAGTCTAGGGCCACCATTTTCCACGCCGTCCGTCAGAAGAATATCCTGCGACCCGGTGTCTCGGAACATTTCGTTAGTCTTCTCCAGCAGCGAGGTTCAGATGCACATGTGCATCATCTAAGAAACGGCAATAAGTGGTCCGTACGTTCTGGGCTTGGACCGACCCGACTGCATTTGCCTTACCCGAGTGTGACCGAGGGCGTTCGGATGAGTGACTGAACAGCTTGTGTGGGTTCTTATTTACGAGGTTGTCGAGATCAGTCCGGCTCGCGACGGTTGAGCTCAACCTTCGAGAAGGCGGGTGGCGTCTCTAAGCCCGGAGAAATATCCTCCCATGTCTCGGTTCGGTTCTCTGTTGACAGTCTCTGTTTCTCTTCCTTCCCCGCCCACATCGACATACCGCATCTGGCGGTGTGACGTCCAAGTAGACCCAGATCTTGGGAGGATGAGAGCCCGGATCGACGACGAGAGAGTTCATCCGTGACTCGTCATCCACAGAAGCGGCCAAGAGGAGAACATATCGACGCGCCAGAATCCACATTCTCGCATGAATGCGGGCGCCTTGGTAAAATGGGGATTGTCGCTTCTCCATACCAGACCAGAGATGCGTCCCGCCTATCACTATCTAACATTTGCTTCATGCCGGTTTCTGACGACCCCCACCAATGGCCCGTTTCTTCCTTAGAGTTCCATTGATCCACTGTAAATCTGCGGGTTACTGCCAGTCTACCAAACGATTTTTCGTGTTCTCCCATGTCCGGCTAAGTTTAAACGGCGGCGGCGCTGCTTGATGATGCGCAGTAAATCTCCGTTGGGGAAACAGGAAAAAGGTAATGCCGAGATAATATCCTCTGGGAGATGCAGACCGTCTCCGGAGATGAGCTCCTTTATTGGCAGACCAGGGTTCTTGGCAACAGACGGCACGGTTGCTTTCATCCTTTGTTGTCTGTCCCTTTGATGAAAGCAGAGACAACTGCAGTCGCTCGTCAAAGGGTGAGGCGAGATGTCACCGCAGGGCCGCTGTTTGCTAAGCGGCTTCGTCTCGAGATATTAATAGATCAATATGCTCAGAAATAGCATTGTTTTGTGTCAACGTTCCATTGCGAGCACAGGAATCACGAAGGCGTTCGTGTCTCAACCTGTGTTTCTTGAAGACCGGGGCCTTTTGCGAACAACTTGAGACAAATTGTGCCCAAGTCAGACCAACCAACAACGATGCCTTTCGGAAGTTGCGCCGACATTGGGCGATTCTTCGCGACGACTGTGACGAGTGCTGCCGCATCGGGCATTTCGTATGGCGGTCAGGGTTGCATTACCGTCGAGAAACAACAGGCAACAAGCCTCCAAATTTGGGGATTCGATATTATGCGCAAGACTGAGACATCATTAACTGATCAATGTGTTAAAGTCATGCTGATGGTATGCTTTTCTCGTGGAGTTGATTTCAAGACTTCTCACTAAAACCCTCCACTCCGAATTGGGGCAATATTGAACACTTAGCAGATTGATCAATTGATGCTTTGAATGTGTTGAATTGTCCCAAAAATAAAACGGTTCTCATCCGGTCCTGATGCTTTTGAACCACCTAACGTCGACATCATCTATCATTGTCTGACCACGTCCATTGACGTAACGTAGGCGTGAACTTTATATATTTCTTCTATTTTAATTTAATATCAAAATCTGACGACGTTCGAAAATTCCAATCCACGTGCAGCGGCCTAACCGACGATGCGGATGTAAGGGGCTAGAAAACTGCCCGGTCCGTTGTGGAGTTTGCCACCATCTGGAGATCGGGAGACTTCAAGAAGCGACCCCTTATTCGTACTTGAAACCTGCAGTGCGGAGTGGATACTGCAACCGGGTCTAAATAACAATCTCTCGTAGTCTAGTGTACGACGTACATGCACTATTGATTGATATCTCCTCTGTACTTCATCCTGCGTGCTTCCTCCGGCGTCATGGTCCCGGTAAAAGTCAATTTTGCTGGGAGGTTTAAGACGGGAGGCGGCTAGTGATGTAGAAGTGATGCACAGGACCACCAATTTCAAGCCACAGGGGCATCTGACTTTGTGATCGTACCCGGCGTCTCCCTAACCACCCTGTTGGTCATGGTGTTCTCGAGCTCTGGCTGGCGACGTTGGAGATGTTCTTTTGAAAGGAGCTCGATGTTGAGTCGAGGTTGAATAACATTGCAAGCAATCTCGATCGGAGCTGCTACAATGTCATCTAACATTTGATATCTTTGCTTGGGAATCTGACAGCTGGCGGAGGCAGCAGGGCCTGGCCTGGCCTTGCATCAACCAACCCGGGCTCCCATGTGGGATTACTAGGGTCCGGGAAGGTTCGGTCTCCCCAGCACGGCACCTTTGTCGCCACGAATTCTCCCCCATAGTCTTGGGTGTCGATCATTGCCCAAGGAAGACTGGCACCCCAGACTCAAGATGTTTCTTCAACAGCTTTTTTGACGGACAGAGCCAAGCAAGATTGTTCGCGAAACTCCCAATGGCTCAGCGACAAACGCAATCGGTTCGTCAAGGCGAGGTTCTGCGAGGCGAGGCAAGGCTTTCGGAGCCCGGGAGGGACCTATCAAACCTTTTTTTACGCGTTCTTCTCAGGACAGTTCCTTGCCACCCGATTCGTGGTCATACAAGTAAATTCATTCTGTGAAGATTTGGGGACAGGACGCTGCCCGCCTGAAATTGGAGCGATAATAGGACTTCGTAGTCAATCCATGGGATTGGGACCTTGCAACCTGTGAAAGTACGAAGTATCTTCGGATCCTGTGATCTGTACTTCGAAATGCAGCGCTCTGACTTCACAACTTCGTTATCAAACTCCACAATAATAATAACATTCGTTTGCGAGTATGAAAGGCAGCGCCAAGTCGTCGGCAAGCTGTACCGCCGGAAACAGTGTATCTAAACAAGACAAGACCTGCACTAGTGCTGCAGCGATGTCGTGTGGGCTTTGATGAAGCCGGGGCTCGATATCAATGGCTCTAACCGACCTTCGATATATAAGTGATAGTGTTAAGTTGTTGCGCGAAATGTCTCAGGGCTTGACTGAGTAAAATCGACGCTCCAAATTTTAATCAAGATCACAATCACATTCTGAAGGAGAGGGTGCATTTCGTCGTACCACAAGCAACGGATGAAGGTCACCCTTCAATACCATATCAAGTGTTACTACTTGTACTTCGTACTTGGGTGAAAAAAGCAATCATTGATGAATCTAGCAAGTATTTCGTACTTGGCACTCACACCGTCGAGGTTGTTCTTGCCCCTCACCCACGCGCGAAGTGGTGTAAGGTACGAAGTACTAGTACGTACTCACCAGCTTGTATTGCACTACCACCCACACCTTCCTCCACCACTCGTCCCCACCTCCGACACTAACCCCTGCCCCTGACGGCTGTCCCTTCCTCGTGCGCATTTCGACCTATCCCTATCCTGGATGCTGCCTGCTTGCCACCCCCCTCCCCCTGGGCTCTCCGCCTACCCGACAGGCCCAGCATTTGATGGATGATTGCACCTTCTTCATCTCCTCCTCGCAGGTGCCTTCCCCATCCATCCCACCTCATCTCGACTCTGCATCGATGAAATAGGAACGAAGCAATAGTGCATAGATAGTACGGTACATGGTACACTGTCTTCCCACTCCCGAGTACTTCGTACTTCGTGCAGTTCCTATGGAGGTCCAGGCGTCTCAATAACAAACATGCCTGGCCCAGTAGGTACTTCTCATGGACTACTCCATCAACTTTGCCTTGCCTTGCCTTGTCGACCCCTCTTTCTATCCATTATGAGAGGTGACTTGTGGTTTCCTCGTCTGTGGTTGTCACTTTACGACAAAGAAACAGAAAACGCAACCGAAATCCCGACATTTGAAGTTGTGGAATGAAATAATCCTCGGCATGCAAGGAAGTTGGGAAATGGAAACTGTGAGGCGCGGCCGTGAAAATATAAAAAAGAAAAGAAAATCGAGAGAGAATGAGACTACTTCGTACAAGAGCTTAAATACTACAAAAAATTGGTGACTACACAGGTAGGTCGGGCCGTATTTCTCCCCTCCGCGCCTGTTTCAGAAAGAGCACCGCCGACCTATGTCATCTGGTCCAGCCCCCCATTTCAACACTGTCCACCTCCCACTCCCACTGTTCTCTAGTCTCCTCTGAAATTTCCTACTTCGTAATTGCACCTTCACTCACTTCACCTTTGGCCTTCGCAACACTGATCATCGCGCTCCCCTCACTCCGCCTCAGCAACCACTCTCTGCCGAATTCCCCTCGCAATCTTCGACTCCGTTTCTTCCTTTCTCACCGCGCTATTCGATCTTTCATATTTACAGTCGCCATCTACATAGCCCTAGCTCGAAACCACGCGATTTCAGCGCATCCCTTGTTAAAGCCCCCGAGTCCCATTCTAGGCCTCTCGCACGTCCTTGGCTTGACCAGATCTTGTCAATACGAACTCATCCCCACCTTCAATTCCCGCTCGAACGAACTCGAAAACTCCCGCCGTAGCCGTCGCTGTTGCCTTTTCATCGCCGAAAACAAAATATTCGACTCTGTTTGCCGTCCTTGAGCGTTTTGTTGCCATTGCCGGTTTCTCACGTCCCTTTCCCCTTGTTTTGACGGAATTGGAGTCGCCCCTTTCCTGTCGCATAACCCGACCGACCGACCAACCACCATCGCCGATATCCTGAGGGTTTCGTCGTAGAGCCATCATCCTCTTTGGCTGTGTCTGCTTCGCGTTAACGTCGCCTCGTCTTAATTGTGCTCTGTATCACCATCTTGGGCATTCTCGACCATCCCGTCCTTAAGGACCCTGTTATGTCGAGATCGTGCGTCGAGCGTTCCGAATTATCGAGCTGCACCATACCTTAGGAGTTCGTGAGAACACTCGCGCTGTAGCCGCGACCATCTGCCTTCCAGTCAACCTCGGACTTCAAACCCCACGAGGGTCTTGGGCCCACGAAGCCTGATCCTCGATCCGACTCCCTCCTCCCGAGAAAGCACTGCCGAGTCCCCCTGGAATCATGTCTGTTATGCTTCAAACACCGTCAAGAGCTTCTACCGCCTCCTCTTCCTCCTTCCAACCGATATCGCGACAAAACACCATGTCTTCTTACGATGGCTCGCGGTCCGCCCGCCAGTCCAAGCGGTACTCTATGTCCGCGCTTTATCTCTCAATCGCAAACGATGGAGATCTCGAAATTGAGGACGATCTTGCTAAAGGTTTGTTTGCCCCAGCATTCCTGGCGATCCTGCCAGTAGTGTCAGGTCATCTGCCCATCTTGTGCGATGCCTGAATGGTCGGGACTGCTCGGGACGGGGTAACGTTCGTAGACTCGAAGAAAATCCCATGCTAATACGAACCTTCTCAATTTAGCTCAGAAGACGCTTCGAGAACTCAAATCCAAGATCTCTTCCCAATCCAAGAAGAACTTCGTCCTTGAAAAGGATGTTCGCTACTTGGACTCGCGCATCGCCCTGCTCATCCAGAACCGCATGGCCCTTGAGGAGGTTCGTGTCCTTCCTTCCCGTGCTCCTAATTACTAGTGATGCCGTCGCTTCGTTTCACGCGACATCATGCGCTGGCATACATAAGAGCTGAACTGTGCTAACCCCTTTGGCAATGTGTAGCAAAACGAAGTTGCCAGCCATCTTGAAGATGCCACCGATATCCAGGAAGGAGTATTTCCCAATGACGACAAGACTCAGAAATACGGCAACCTGATGTTCCTGCTCCAATCTGAGCCCAGACACATCGCTCACCTTTGCAGACTTGTCTCCATGGCTGAGATCGATTCACTCCTGCAGACTGTCATGTTCACAATTTATGGTAACCAATACGAGAGTCGAGAAGAGCATCTTCTCTTGACCATGTTCCAGGTTAGTACCACGCACAAGGCGGATACGTCACGCCTCATCTTGGCTTGTTGGCTGACCTTCCCTCTCACAAATTTAGTCTGTCTTGACGTACCAGTTTGACAACACACCCGAATACTCGTCGCTCCTGCGAGCCAATACCCCTGTTTCCCGTATGATGACGACGTATACAAGGCGTGGTCCCGGGCAGACCTTCCTCAAGTCTGTCCTTGCCGACAGGATCAACAGCCTTATCGAACTTAAGGACCTTGATCTCGAGATTAACCCTCTCAAGGTGTATGAGCGCATGGTGGAGCAGATTGAAGAGGACACTGGCAGCCTCCCCGCGTCGCTTCCTAAGGGTATCACGGCCGAGCAAGCTGCCGAGAATCCTCAGGTACAGGCAATCATCGAGCCGAGACTTACTATGCTGACCGAGATAGCGAATGGCTTCTTGACGACGATTATCGAGGGGCTTGAGGAGGCTCCATATGGCATTCGATGGATTTGCAAGCAGATTCGTAGCTTGACCAAGCGAAAGTACCCGGATGCCAATGACCAGGTTATCTGCACGCTTATCGGTGGCTTCTTCTTCCTGCGCTTCATCAACCCCGCCATCGTCACGCCCAAATCTTACATGTTGATTGACGGAATCCCGTCCGACCGCCCAAGACGCACCTTGACGCTTATCGCCAAAATGCTCCAGAACCTTGCAAATAAGCCGTCGTACGCCAAGGAGCCATACATGGCTAAGCTCCAACCCTTCATCCAATTGAACAAGGAGAGGGTTAACAAGTTCATGCTTGAGCTTTGCGAAGTTCAGGACTTCTACGAAAGCCTCGAAATGGACAACTATGTTGCCCTGTCTAAGAAGGATCTAGAATTGTCCATTACCCTGAACGAAATCTATGCCATGCATGGCCTTATCGAGAAGCACCACAGCGAGCTTTGCAGGGACCCGAACTCGCATCTCACCATCATCATGACCGAACTAGGACCTGCCCCCGCCCAAGTTCCTCGTAAGGAGAACAGGGCTATTACTCTACCCCTCTTTAGCCGTTGGGAGACTGCCATTGATGACTTGACAGCGGCCCTGGATATCACGCAGGAGGAGGTATATTTCATGGAAGCCAAGTCCATCTTCGTGCAGGTCATGCGATCAATCCCTCCCAACAGCAGTGTAGCCAGGCGACCTTTGAGGCTCGAAAGAATTGCCGATGCTGCCGCCACCAGCCGGAACGATGCTGTCATGGTGCGTAAGGGCATCCGTGCCATGGAGCTCCTGTCACAGTTGCAAGATCTTAGAGTTATCGACAAGGCCGACCAGTTTGCGACTCTGCGCGACGAGGTTGAGCAGGAGCTCCAACATCTTGGCTCCCTTAAGGAGGGTGTACTCATTGAGACGCAGAAGCTGCAAGAGGTCTACAAGACGATTCGCGACCACAACACCTATCTCGTCGGCCAGCTGGAGACATATAAGAGCTATCTCCACAACGTTCGATCGCAGAGTGAGGGCACGAGGAGAAAGCAGCAGAAGCATGCCGTGCTAGGTCCATATAAGTTTACCCATCAACAGTTAGAAAAGGAGGGTGTCATCCAACGCAGCAACGTTCCGGACAATAGGAGAGCCAACATCTACTTCAACTTTACGAGTCCACTCCCCGGGACCTTCGTCATCTCATTGCACTACAAGGGTATGCTACCGATTCCATTCTCGAGATGAACTCGAGGATTATGGTTTTCTTTTGCATTTTGCTAACGCTTTTTTTTTTTTCTCTAGGACGCAATCGTGGTTTGCTTGAACTAGATCTGAAGCTAGATGACTTGCTTGAGATGCAGAAAGATGGCCAAGATGACCTTGATCTTGAATACGTGCAGTTCAACGTACCCAAGGTTCTTGCGCTCCTGAACAAGCGATTCGCAAGAAAGAAAGGGTGGTAAAGACTGGACTACGACTTTGGGTCAATGAATTCTAATGTCATGGGTACAACAACGTGGAGTTTGGTGTTGATCTTATGTGGGCCGGTATCCGGATGGATGGAAGGCATCAATGGGGCCTGCAGCTTCTAGCCTTGTGTGTTTCCTTTTCATGTGTCTTTCTTCCACTTTGTCCTGTTGAACTTGATACCACTTCGATTTTTTGTCGTTCTTACATCCCCCATCCCTCCCTCGGGCAGCAAGCGACTTCTTTTCAAGCCCTTGATCTCTCGTTTCATTTCTGGACTTTTTCACAACTTACTGGCATATCCACCAACATCACTCGTTTTTCGAGTCGCTTGTTCTCGACGCTTCAGCCTATTTTCCCGCATTGCTTTCGCCACTGCTGCCAAATGATATTCGAACACTTCTTGTTTCTATCAACAGAAACGATGCCTCCTTGGCTCGCGACCCTTGATGGATGGGTAGTTTGATGTCCCATTTGTCCTTCATTAATCTTGATGGTCTCCCGCCGTCTGTCATTAATATCTTGTTGAGGTTTTCATTCTCGTTTGCATTTTTCTTCTTCTTTCTCTCGCTGTTATAACTTTCCCGAGCTATATATATACGCATATATACCCGGTCACTAATTTCTCTGTTGATGGACCTCATCGTTGCTTTACTTGCCTGCGGCTGTTGAAACCTGCGTCATGGGGGAATGTGGCGGAATATCTCTTTTGTTCTTCATCCGAGTTTATATCCATTCTTCTTGCGAGCGATGCTGTCTCGTCGAAGCGTTCGACCGGCTGGGCCGACGTCTCTTTTTGTGTTCTTTTTATTTTACTTTTCCGCTTCTATCTCTTTTTTTTTCCTTCCTTTTCTTCTTTGTTGTTTTGTCCGCGCGGTGACGGGTCTGCTACTGCAGCAACCCTCGGTTGATTTTTATTGTACCTTGATGGATGGGCTTGACGAATTGGAGATTTTTGGGGTTCGTGTTTTTGTTGGTTGACTTGAGATAGCTTCTTAGCGGCTGAATGACAATGAGGAATGCTCTAAATACTTGCGCTTGTGGTTCTACCTAACGTGAGATCTTTGCAAATGGGATGTGCCAACAAACTCCAAAGGGATAACACTAAATCTGTCTAATGAGGACAGCAGAAAGGAACTATTAGCTCTACTTAGAACGCGAGTAGGCATCTCATACCTTCTCCCCATCATCCTTCTTAGTTCCACGAATCCACCCCCACAGCCTCTTCTCCTCCGATTTTCCCATAGGTCCCTTCGGGAAGGAAGGCAAACTAGCCGAAGCCAGCGGTGTCGGCCATCTCCTCCTTGGCCCTCCCTCATCGTTCTCAACACCCACTCTCTCGCCCTCAATGACTCGATTCCTAGACACCAGCCAAGTTCCCCAGCTCCTCATCCAAACACGCGCACGACCGGTCCTATCCGCTGCTGACCGCCACCCAGTAAAAGCGCGAGCGCGCAGCCTCTCGAATGCCTTGTGGATGGCGTTGTTTACGGAGCGGCTTTGGAGGAGGATGAGGAGGAGGATGAAGGGGACGCAGACGCAGACCATTGTGGTTGAGAAGCGCCAGTCCGTTGCGGGGATGGTGAATTCTGTTATGCCGAAGACGGACTGCAATTTTGCCATCGTTAGCTTCGATATTTCTCTCCCTCTCTCTCTCTCTCTCTCTCTCTCTTTCTAGAAGTCTCTAAGAAGAGGATTGCCTGGGGGGAGTCGATGAGCTTACCGTGACAAAGGTCAAAGGAAGGAAAACCATTGAGCTCAGCGTCAGAATCCGAATATTATCACCCTGTTCAATAGCCCGCCTACTTTCCATAATCGAACTGCCACTAAACAGCTGCTCCCGAAGACTCTGGATCTCGCGGCGGGTTTCCTCATTCTTGAGATACACAGCCCACAAGTCAGCGAGCACGCGATCGAGGTCGGCGCGGAGGGAGGCCAAGCGGGAGAGGTAGTGCTGGCCAGAGGGGGAAGAGGGATCGGGATGGGCCCAGAGGGTGGGGTGGGTGCCGGACCAGAAGGCGGGGGTGAAGGTTTCATCGTAGGCGGTTAGCATGGATTTTATGCTTGTGTTTATGACGCCGAGGGACATGTAGGCCCAGAAGTAGCGGCGGATGTCTGCGTGAGATGCCTGTTAGCTTTTGCGGGCATGAAAGGGGAAATGGGGTTTGGGGACGGGACGTGCAGGTGAAGTGCTTGTCTTCGAAGAGGAGCTTGTCGCGGATCTTGTTGTCAAACATGAAGTTGATCTAGTTTGTTATACGTTAGATGTGTGAACAATGGAGGCTCTGGATTGGGGGTTTATTCGCTTACATCAGGTGTAACCAACTTGGTTATCTTCTCGTGCAAGATGCGATTCCTTCTCGTGGCATCCTGATACTCGACCACCAAAGCCTCCAGAAACGCATGCGGTCCGTTCAAAAGCGTCTTTCCCTCATCTTCACTCCGATCCGTATGTTCATCATCCGGGAAGGACTGAATATTAAGCAAATGCCACGGCGCAAACGTGTGAAACACATACCCCTCCCTAGGAGGCTTTCCCCTGCGTCTGCGGATGCGCGTCTGCGTCGGTTCACCTCCCAGAGAGAGGGCCAACACGGAGCTACACTCGGCAATGTCGATGTGGTCCTGGGATTTCTTATCCGCGGGGCGCTTGTCGAATTTTTCCCAGGGGGCGGGCTCGTGGTCTTGGCCCACTACGGTGTAGTATTTGAAGACGAAGAAGAAGCTGCGGTGGCGGATGTAAGGGTCTCTCATTGCGAGGGGATGTGTGCCGACTCCGACTCCGACTCCGGCTGGGGATGGGGTGGGTTGGGTGATGATGGGCTCGGGGGGAAAGGCGCGGTTCATGTAGGCGGTTGTTTTGTTTGCGTTGCCTTGGGAGGTGACGAGATGGGTGAGGAGTTCGTCCATGTCGAGGTATTTGGACATGGCGAAGTGGAGGGAGCCGAAGACGAGGGCCGTGGGCTCCTGGACGATTCTATGATTTTTTCGAAGTTAGGATCCTGAGGGAGGGCTAATAGAGCTGATGCGTAGGATTGGCTTGGCCCCTTGGGCGGTCGGATTGTACTCACGTTATTCTGCCCGTTGCGTCTCCCGTGGGATAGTTTATGTTCTTGATCTTATCCCAAACAGCAGCCGCATCTACCTGGTCCGGTGAGGGACATTCGTCCTCATCGTCACAAGAACACTCCCCATCCCCTTGCTGAGGGCTCGAACAGGGCTCCTCCGTTCCCTGAACTTGTCTCACAATGCAGTCGACGCCAACATCGTAGACCTCGCACGTCGAGTTACTATAGCTCTCGTTCTCATAGGCAGCAAAGTGTCTCAGCGACTGTGCCCACTCGATACTCGTGCCAGCCCGCTTCTTAATAAAGTCCTGCATCGCAACGGCGGTTCCATCCCTAAAATCCGTGTTGAAGAGATAATACAACAGATCCTTGTCCTCGAGATGCGCCGCGTCTAAAGTGCGGGTGACGCCCCTCACTTCCATCGTCGTCGTTGAGGAGCGTTGTCGTTGCTGTGGTTGCGCGGTCGAGGGCTGCTCGAGCAGCGGGAGAAAGTGGACGTCATCCTCGGAGCACTCATGGCCGCTGCCAGTGCTGAAGTTGGAATGAAGCGACGCGGGGATGTGTTTCGGCTCGGCGAAGAGCGTCCGTCTCTCGTTGGCGAGTTGTTGCTCGGCGGTCTGGCGGCGCGAGTGGCGGAGGGAGCCCGGAAGGCCGAACTCAGAACTCGTGAGGGTTGGGGTGTTGATGGGCCGGAGGGGAGGTGTGTTGAGAATGTCGGTTGCGGTGCGGGAGCTGGCGCGGTCGCGGCTGGTCGGCGCTTGGGGAGTTGGTTGTGGTGAATTGACGGAGTCGCGGACTAGTTGGAGGAGGAGTTCGTTTTGAGATTGGAGGGCTTTAAGGACTTCTTCGAGGCGAGGCTGGGGGGAGGAGGTCATGGTTCGTTCGTCTAAGAGAGGAGACACTTGATGAGGTTTACTGCTAAGTTCACAATTACTCATGTAAGTGATGGACACTTTCACATTGGTGAGTGAGGAGAGTATCAAGACAGGCTCTACAAAATGTGAGTATCGAAAGGACAAATGGTTAGAATTAAAAAATGAGGATCTCTAGATTTTGTATCATACGCATATTAACGCCGCATGACCTCTTCAAAGCTAAGGCTGCTGCTGCCTTGCAGAAGAAAGACTGGCTGGCTTGAGCCCGCTCTACAGCATTGGGTTGTTTTTCATCATTTGATCTTGTCAAGGAAATCTAGTGTCGGAGCCCACCGACGCTGTGTGAAAATCGCAGGGCTTATCGGGCGCCGATTCTTCCCGCGGGGAAGACGAGGAGACAGAGCCCAAACGTTTCCAGCTCACATCTATTTCTGGATCGAATCAAGTTTTCCGGGGACGTGGAAGTGGATCGGAATAAAGTGACGTAGTTCTAGAAGCCCAGCAGCGCCCAGCAGCGCCCACCACGAGGGCTGCAGGTGAGTTGTGACTGGGTTGCATGAACCCCGAGCTTCAGAAAAGCATCAATTGATCCATTCTCCCAAATCTGGCAAGTGAAATATGCTCCTTACCCCTCCACGCCCCCTCCTCCGCGTTTTCTACTCGGGGTATGGGAGCACGAGGGAGATGGGTGGGTTGGGTTGCAGATGATCGAGATGGGCTACTGGCCAATTCTCTGCCTACCGTATCCAGACACCGAAAAAGCGAGGCGAGCAAAACCGGGCTGAAAGGTGTGGGTGGGTCGGAGGAATAAACTAACAGCGACAATTGAGCAGCACTTTGACTGAGCACATGGTCCATCCATATCTCTGTTTGGGTTGATCTGAAGGGGGCTTGGAGCAGTTTGACTGCTGGTAGTCCCAGTTGGAAGCACAGCCCCTTTCCAATGTCGTTACCTTAGCACCTTGAGCTTATCCCGAAGGTGCTAAAGTAAACAGTCGGTTTCGCTGGGCGTCTTTGACAGCTCATGTCGGTAATCGCCTAGCCCCGAATCGCATCTTTGCCTTGTAATAGGTAAATTTTGGCTTTTGGAGGTCCAACTTGTATCTCATTCCAGGGACCCCTCCTCGGTAGAGCCCTCTGCTCCTCTCCATGACCTTGCCTGCCCAATCCTTAAGCCGAGGTGGGCACTGTCTGCCGACGATGCGCCTTTCGACGAAACCCTCACACCTGTTTTGATTGTAAACCGCGCGAAAGCGAGGTCATGGCGGGTTAAAGCTTTGGGCTATTTAGATAATACTGTGTTCCGCATTCACCTTTCTCTCGCTACTTCTCCTCTTCAAGTTACCTGCACGCCTTGTTCTATAGCAAGTAACTTGGCTTGCAACCCTTCTACGCTGTCCATTTAGATGAATTGGCCAGGGCGAACCGCGACTTAATCCTGAGTTTTGTGTGTACTTGTAGCCTCGGATGTTTTGTTGGCCGATTAATGGACTCAATCGACGCTTCCTAGTTGTACAATTGACAGACTGCTTGCTAGACCAACCGTCAGGCTTATATCTTGACGAGCTGCGGACTTACATACAGTACTCGGGCCAATCTTACCGTCGGAGTAGGGAACAATGCCTCTCGTGGGAATGTATCTGTCTTCCGCTATGTTACCGCCTTCACCGACGCCTCGACTGCTCCGAACCAAGAGCCGCCAAGTCGAAGGCCTGGGAGCCTCAACACCAGACCCCAACCCAAATCGCTAGGAAGGACTTAGTTCGTACAGACACCCTGAATACCTCAAATCAAAACTTTCTGTAGGCGTTATGTATTCCGAGGGGATCATTGAAGAGGCGGGTGTCCACTACAGGCCACCATTTCGTTAGGGTTCTGTCTCTTCTACATCCATGGCTGAGTGGTGAATTTCAATAGAGATTTCTAGGGTTGGAACCCCGCGATTGGGGTCTGTGGTAGACCGAGTTAGAACTAGTTCGCCAAGTATAAGTCATCATCCTCAATAAGGAAGGGGTTCATAGAGGTAGCCACAGTCTGGTGGCTTCCAGACGTAGCTCTCCCCTCGTGGCTCATGGAGGAAGTGACATTCTGGTCGGGCGAATGAGAAGCCAAAACTTGGTGGCTATTTTCCGGGTGTACTTCCCACGGCAGCGGATAGTCCAACTCCCATAACCCTTCAGTGTCATACACCCACGAACCCTGTTCCGTTAATAAAGGCACATCCGACTCCTCTGTCGCACTCCAGTAAAATGCTCCGTAACGGGCATCGACACGCCTACGGTGGCCAAACGGGATGGCGACAATCGTCCCATCTATCTTCCAAAGCGGCCGGCCATTATACCACTCACGCTTGTACGGTGGAATGTCCCTTAACCGGACTGGGTATGCTATCATCCCTTGGAACCTCCGAAAGCCCTGGACCAGAAACCGATATAAGGCATATCGAAGTGTCACACCGCCGTCGTTGACGCGTGGGATCACCCAGCAATCAACTTTGCAATCCTGGCTTTTGATATCATTCACGCTCATCGCCCTGAACTGTAGCAGGACTAGGTACTCGCCGTCAAAGCAAAATATCTGAGGGCAGGAGTACTTGTATGCGTAGCTACTTGGGCAGTAGCATTGGTGGTTAGAAACGGAGAAAGGCCTGTAGGGGAAAGGAAAGGAGGCCTTACCCCCTAAGCTCTCGTGAGAGGCTTTTCTGCGCACTCGATTCTAAATTGCCATCTTGCCACTGTCTGTTCCTGATCAGGTTTCTCTTCATTTCCCCGATCACGATATGGGTTCGAGTGCGACCCCTCGCGATGGAATACGCGACATCAACTACTTCATCCGCCTTAGCATCGGCCAAGGGTTTCTCGTGTGATGATTGCAGAACGGATGGAGCCTTAGTGAAGGCGCCGAGGACGACGTTAGAGACCTCGGTGTGAAACCAATTGACCATATCTTCCTCAGTACTGAATTTCCAAGTCCGATAGGTTGGAGGTGATGCCCGCTCGGTCAGCCGGATCTCGTCATCGGCGTAAAGAGGCAGGAGGGCTGGTTCGAAATCAGCTTGAACGGCTTGAGCGTATGGACCGTGCCTGGTTCGAACGGCGAGCTTTGTGATGGCCGGGAATTCCTTGGTCCATTTTTTGTCGGTTGTGGTGTCGTGACCGGTTCTCTCTACAGGGTTCGTCGGGTGAGAGGCAATGAGGTCTTCGACGGTATGTGACATTGTGAATCGGATGAGACATCAAGCGGCGTCTGTCAGAAATAGCGCACGGGGAGCGAAGGGAACCACCCCCATCTTCACAGGAGCGACGAATATGTATCTTGTCAGTTTGCGGGGATGCAGTGGCTGTCTGCCTGTTCTGCTTCGTTACACCAGACTCCGGCAGGCGTCCCAATCTGGATTATGTCAGAAATGAGAAGTCGATCCCCCATTGACGTAAATCCTCGCGCCTGTCTGTGCTTTCTCACGATCTTCGACTCTGACGTTAGGTGATGTAACGGCTAAAAACATGGGCGAGGAAGGGGATAAACTATTTCCAAGGGATATCAAGGTATATACTGACAATACAATTGGAATGCGACTATCGACTAATATTGTCTTGCAGTTCCGCCTTCGTGGTAGCGTCGTGAGCGCGACTGCCCACCTTCCCCGGCAAAGACAATCTCAAAGGACCAATGTTTTGCGCTTAGTCATCCAACGCACCTTCATCAGCGCACTCATTGTCCAAGTTACATCTTGGTTGCCCCAGCCGATTCAGAATATTGTCAAAAGCCTGTGGCCGGGACCATTCCTCCCTGATTGCGTCATCCTCAAGATCCGGAAGCCTGAGCCGGAATGGGAGGACGAATGGCACAATGAGAGGCGCATGTACAAGAAACTCGAGGATCTACAGGGGAGCTTCATTCCGATACTCTACGGCGAAGCTGATTACGGAGGGCAACCGGCCCTGGTCCTCTCGTATATCCACGGCCTACCTCTTTTTGAAGTGACTGATCTGACGGTTTCAGAGGTGCGGCGTAAACTCAAGGAAGCTTTCCTGCCTCTTCAACAGCACGGTGTCTACCAGGATGATCCGACGATGGCGAACCTTATCTTGGTGGACGGGGAAAGACTTGTGACCGTTGATCTGGAGCGTGTGTACGAACCTACGAACCCAGAAAAGATCGGCTATTTAACGAAGGATTCGATACATCACATTCTCCATTACTTCTCCTCTGGGCCTGTGCCCCCTGGGTCGTCCTCTGAGTCCGACTCTGAGTCACTCCCGGCCAGAGAATACGATGAGATGTCTGACGTGGAGGATTAGTGGCATGCAGGCAAGAAAGTTTCAAGATTTGAATGCATCTGGAGTTCCTTCGTGATACCCCCCCTGTATTAAACTGCCTATGGAACCAGTCCTTTAGCCTTGAATGTCATTTTTGGCCTGCGCCAATACAATAACTGATTGCGAAACACCGTAGGCGGGCAGATAGCCAGACGGTAAAGAGGTATCAAGAAGGAAAGAATGCCCAGAAAACAAAATCTCGTGAACAAAAAGGATGCTTTAGAACCCTTACTTCTTGCTTGATTAGATGCAACTGGCCGCCCGTCCTTTCCCCTGCCCTCCTGCCTCCCACCAATTAACCGAAGCCATCTCTATCTGGTCCCTCCGTTTTTGTTTGTGCATTGCAAACAAGACCTTATCCGCACAAACCACCTTTCCGTACGCCGTTTGCCCTGGTGAAGTACCGCTCATGTGGTAGACTCAGCCGAAACTTTGCGCGAGGGGGCCCGAAAGGGCCCATGATTACATGCTGGAATAAATCAAAACTACCCCTCGATGGGGTGGTTGATAGCCCTCTAGTGCGACATGACGACTTCAGCAGTCTTCGCGCCGTTCGCCTTCCCGCCGTCATCCACCTCCATGGCGTCCTCGTCCATGGCGTCTCCTTCGCCCTCCTCTTCCTCGCCCTCCTCATCCTCGTCACTCTCGCCCTCGATGTCGACACTGCCGTCGTCCGACAGCTCGTCCTCGTCATCCTTAACCTCGGCTTCGGCCTCGTTATCGGCATCGGCCATATTAGAGTCGCCGCCGGCGTCTTCACCGTTGGCTTCGACTTCTGCCTCATCCTCATCTGCTTCCTCGGCGCCGTATTCCTCCTCGTCGGCGACAAGATCAGCCTCGGGTTGTTCAGGAGGGAACTCAGCGGGAGCAGAGGCTTCGGAATCCCTATAGAAAACTTTTGGTTAGATTACTGTCCAAAGATTTTGCACCCAACACGCGAGAAACCGTATTTTGTAAAATGGAACGTACCACTTGATGGCGAATCGCGTCACCCTAGGCTTCTCGGCTAGGATGTTGCGACGAACCCGCTCGATGATGGGCTTCGCGGGAGGGTCAGCGCTCAACTCCTCCGAGTCGTATTCGTTGTTGACATAGTAGCCAACTCGGACGAACTCGCGGCCGTCGTAGGCGCAGGTAAGGAGAATCACGGTAACACCGAGGATGTCGGAATCGGGAATACGCTTAGTATCGGGGGGGTCCGCCTCGAAGGGAAACTTGCTCACGCCGACAGGGATAGGGCCGACGAGGAGCGAGTCGAGTTCTTGGTCGTACTGGTCACTTGGGAGGTGTTAGAGCCATGGCTGCGAGAGTGCAGGACGGAGGTGGTCGCCAAAATATTGTGAACTGAAACGTCACGTCGAATGGCAGTAGAGGACTTACGAGGTAGCAGAACCGACATAGGTTAATTTCCATTCGAGATCTATGAGGGAAGATGTTAGTAAACAGAAGCGTCGAGCTGCAAGACCTGGCGGTGTGAATGAAGTAAATAATGCGCATACCTTTCTCGAGGGGCTCGAGGCACTCAAAGGTAATCTCAAATTCATATTTATCGGTGAATTTGGCGGGATTGTTCAAGACATCCACTCCGAGAAGCGTCACAACAGACATCTTGACTCAGGTTATCCTTCGATGGTCTCAGACGGTCAAATGTGCTGGTGTAAAATCGTGTTGTAAGGGAGACGGCGCGGGGTAGCTGGTGATGCAGGCAAAGAATATCAAGGTGCAGAAAATAGTGGGTTTTCTAAACTTGACTAGAAGAAACCCGAGAGCAAGAGCTGGCTGAGGTCGACGATAAGGTTGAAAGAGCTAGCGGGAGGGAATGGAGGACGTTTCGAGGAGATGAGAGGTCCGAGAGAAGGAAGGCGCTTGCCTAATGATGATGGCTGGTGGGCTGGGCTGGCTGACCACACATGTACTTGCAGAGTGGTATCAAATGATTTTGATAACAAGACACAGTCAACAACTTGACGCGACCTTTGCGTGCAAATTCGCGTGGCGGAAAGGGGATTGATGCCCTGCGCTGCACGCACTTTAGACGCGTTAAGCACCACACGTCAAACTTGCTTTGGGCAAGGGAGCAAGGGACAAATTTGGCGCCACAAATGGCGGGGTTGGGCCGATGTGGCGTCAACTTAGCCAGAACTAGAGTACGAAGTACATTGTCTAACAGACAAACTTCCAATATTAGCCGAAGATTCTCCATTCAGCTTGCGCCAGTGCCTCTCTTTTGTCCCAGCGGCTCCACCTGTGCAATCTCACCGCTTTTGGAGCGAGGAACATTCTGCCGCTTTGCCAGCCTCACGTCTTGCATCAATCTCCCATCTCCAGTCGATCGTGGTCATTTTTTCGTCGCCCTCCAAAAGAAGCTTCCTTACTCCAGCCCACAGGCCTCCAAATCATCTCAGCATTACTCCGTTTCAACCCTCTGCCAATTTCTGTTCTTGCGCGATTGCAATTTGTTTTATTTTCTACATTTATGCGACACCATTCTTCCTCTCCAACACAGCTCTAGTCTCCCGACGGTTTAAATATCCACAGCTCCACTCCCTGGTCGACCAACTGCGACTGGCCGCCTTTGAACAATTCCCCATCCCCTCAAAGGCTCTCGAGCTCTTTGTCTTCCCGGGGAAATCTAGAGATACGGATTCTTCGCCATCTCCAACCCTTGAAACTACGGCTGTTGGCGACTAGGATTTTTGCGGTCTCTGTGTCTGAACCTGGGCTTGGCGTGTCCCTTCAAGAGGCAGCATCTCTAGACCAAGGTAAGTATCATCAGTATTCCTGATGGATGAAATAAATGTACTTTTGCGAAGGGTTTCACGTTCTCACCATATCATATGTCTATTAAAACAGATACCCTTCTATTCCTGACACTCGACGATTGCAACAACTCGACGGTGACGCTTATGCTCGATCTTTGACATCGTCCCCCATTTCCCTTACTGCCGACCCGGTCCGGCTGGCGCGATAATGTCCGCGGATGAAGTGAATGACAAGACGCCCTACGGAGGCGAAGGCGTGTCTTGGGAAGAGGATGGTCTGGAGGGCGAGGGACCTGATGACTATCAGCCCGACATTCCACTTAGCGACGAGCAAACTCAAGATCCTAGTTTGACCGGTGCCAACCCTTCAACTGATTATGGTGACAATGGCGAAGATTTCGGTGACGATGGCGCCGAGTATGACCCGGAGGCCATTAGTGCTCCGCCAGTGCCGGAACCCAAGCCTGCCAAGCCCCAGACCACCGGCGGCTTCATAATCCAAGAAGACTCTGATGAGGAAGAGGAAGAGCAAGGCAGCGCTGCAACTGCGGCTAACGTTCCCGCTGCCATCTCGGGAGGAGCGGCGAGTGCCCCCACCGAGGCTGTCCCTTCTCAGGACCAAGCGGTACCATCTGCGTCTCGCGTTCAAGATCTCCAGGTGACCAATGGATCCGCTGCTTCCCATGCAACAGGCAACCCTCTGCTCCACCCACAGGTGGCCGCCCTATCGGGTCAGGACACCGTAAATCGCGCTGCCGTTTTGGAGGATCGAGTCAAAGCCGATCCCCGCGGAGATATGGATGCATGGCTGGGACTAATCGAGGAGTATCGTCGTCGTAATAGCCTAGATGAGCTGCGCTCGGCCTATGGGCGGTTCCTCGAGATTTTCCCCCAATCGGTGAGTTTCTTAGCGTCGATTGACCCGCTGGCGGAAGATAGCTGGAACCCTCTCCGTACTAACCTTCATTGATCGACTCTAGGCTGAGGCCTGGGCTTCTTGGGTAGAATTGGAGCTCGGTCTGAACAATTTCGTCGAAGCCGAACGTCTTTTCGGTCGCTGTCTCATGCTCGCCCCCAACGTTCGACTCTGGACTGTTTACCTGAACTACATCCGTCGACGGAACGATCTCAACAATGATCCGGATGGCCGTGCTCGAAAGGTTGTAACTCAGGCTTATGAATTTGTCATTGACACTATTGGTGTTGATAAGGATTCGGCTCAGATATGGCAAGATTATATCCAATTCATCCGAAGCGGCCCCGGACAAATTGGCGGAGGAAACTGGCAAGATCAGCAAAAGATGGACCAGCTTCGAAAGGCTTATCAACGGGCTATATGTGTTCCCACTTCTGCTGTGAACAATCTGTGGAAGGAGTATGATCAGTTTGAGATGGGCCTGAACAAGATGACTGTAAGTCAAGTCCAAGGAAGCCTGGTTTTTCCCATTAACCTAAGGGCTTAAGCGCTAACATTGATTTTACTTTTCACAGGGTCGTAAATTCATCCAAGAGCGCTCACCCTCTTACATGTCAGCTAAGAGTGCCAACATTGCTCTTGATAACATTACTCGAAACCTTAACCGGACCACCTATCCTAGGCTACCTCCCGCCCCAGGCTTTGAGGGTGATGTTGAATTCCTTGATCAGGTTGAGATCTGGAAGAAGTGGATTGCTTGGGAGAAAGAGGATCCCCTCGTTCTCGAAGCGGATGAGCCCGCGACTTTCAAGCAGCGAATCCTACATTGTTATCGCCAAGCCCTCATGGCGCTTCGCTTCGTGCCCGAGATGTGGGTCGACGCTGCTGAGTGGTGCTTCCGGAATCAAATCGCCCAGAACAATCAGGACACAGGTCTCGAATTCCTCACCCAAGGGATTGCAGCGAACCCCGAGAGCGTGCTCCTTGCGTTGAAGCACGCCGACAGGATCGAATCGACCCATGTCGGAGGTGAGAGCGACGATGCGAAGCGAGAGTTTGCCACCGCTGTCGGACAACCCTACAACAAGGTTCTCGATAGACTCTACGATATGTGCAAAGATCTCAAAGAGAAGGAGCAGGCAGACGTCGCCCGGGTTGAGCGAATGTTTGCCGCCAACCCTTCAAACGCCGCAGAGAGCTACGACGATGAGGATGAATATGACGCGCCCAAGAATAACGCAGAGAAGGAGAACCGACTCAAGGCTATTAAGCAAGGCTACGCAGCTCGCGCCGACCTTCTTTCCAAGACTATATCCCATGTCTGGATCGCTTTGGCTCGTGCCATGCGCCGGATCCAGGGCAAGGGTGGTGTTGGTGTCGGCGGCCTTCGACAGGTTTTCGTCGAGGCTCGCAAACGCGGAAAGCTCACCAGCGATGTGTATGTGGCAGTGGCTCTCATGGAATCGGTAGTTTACAGAGATCCCGTCGGCGCCAAGATCTTTGAGCGCGGCATGACGCTGTTCCCCGAAGACGAGAATTATCTCTTGGAATACCTCAAGTACCTGCACTCCAAGGACGATACTACGAGTAAGTTTCGGCCCGTTCTTCTTGCTTCCAAGACTCATGCACGTTTGTTGCAATGCTGACCCGTCTTTTCATAGACGCGCGAGTAGTTTTCGAAACCTGTGTCAACCGCCTCACGCAAAAGCCGGAAACTGTGTCGAGGGCAAAGCCTCTCTATGCCTATTTCCACAAATATGAATCCCAGTTCGGAGAGCTCGCTCAAATATCCAAGCTCGAGGCGCGTATGGCCGAACTCTTCCCCGATGATCCAAAGCTGGCCAACTTCTCCCAGCGATACTCGACGCCCAAGTTCGACCCGATCATGGCACGGATCATTGTCTCGCCCGCCGCCCAGCTGCGACCCAAGATGGTCATGCCTTCCATCGAGCAACCCCCTTCCGCACGCCGGACACAGAGCCCCGTGCCGCCCATCCACGGATCCCCTCGTCCTCAATACATCCGGGCCACCGCGTCGCCCAAACGGCCATTCGCGGGAGATGAGTACGAGGATCTTAACCGCCCCCGGAAACTGGCGCGAGGCGAATCGCCTCTCAAGGGGGCCGCAGGCCGCCGCCTCGACCAGCAGCGTCGCGATCGGAGCTCTGCGTTGCACCGAGAGTTGACTTTCTTCCTGAATATCCTCCCTCCTGCCTCTACGTACGATTCGGCGAGATTCAACCCGGTATCGATGACGAAGCTCCTTCAAACGACGGTGATTCCAGATTTTGCAACGTGGAAGGCTTCTCAGGACCGGCAAGGCGGACCCACGCGACACACTGCTGCCGGTTACCCGCCTTACCAGCGGTCTCAAAGCCCGTATACAGGGGGGGCGGGGCGACCAGGACATATCGCTGCCGCCTTTCCGCCACAGCGGCCAAGCTCGCGAGGCTACGAGCACTCGTACAGTGCGCCACCGACCAACTACGGTCAGCCGCAGCAGCAGTATGGCGGCTACCGGTATTAAACCGTGACAGCCAAACTTTGGCCGAGTGCCATTCACACTCTAGCCGAGCACAGTCTCATCTCGATTGCCTTGGATGCGTGTATCGGGTAGGAATTACGTGTGAGGGCATGGATTTGTCCCCAGTACACTACACCGTCTGGCTTCATTAGGCCGGGCCATTCGAAGCAACCTTACAGCAGAAAAATCCTCAGGACTTTCGCTGGCCAGGGCTTTGTATCTTCTCTCTTCATTTCCCCCCGTTCCTTTGTATTCTCTTTCTTTCTTCTCGAGGGAGGAATGGCGTTACTCAGAGTCATCGTTTCTTTTTTCCCATCAACATAGAGTTGTAACTCGTCACTTTTTCACTGTGGTTTTTTTTTTTTCGTCTTTTCTTCTTCTTCTTCTCTTTTCCCTTTTAGGGGTGGCCGAGTTGGAGAATATTCGGAGGATCTTCTGGAGGCTGGTCGCGTTGTACATCGTTTCAGTTCAGGTTGGCATCTTGGTAGGCAATCAAAAAAGGATCTTGGTTCCATCAAGGGTTTCCTTTCCATTCAAACATGATGGACTTTAGGTGACAATAGACCCTTTTGAGTGTCTCCATTGATTGTTTTTTCTCCTTCCCTCTTCACCTTTTGTTACTGTCGATTTTAACAGACTGGTTTATTCTTCCTTCATCAGTGACGGTTTCATTTTCCTGTTGGCCTTGTTTGAGCTGAGGTCCTAATGTCTGTGTCGCTTGACTCCCATACTCTCCCCAGATGCGCCAAGAGGGACCCCATCAGCCAACTTTGCCAACCATCGACGAGATGATAGAAATCAAATCATTCCAGTTTCCACCCCACTGGTGATGCCCTACTACATATGAAGCCAGCCCGCCCACTTCAGCCCACATTTGGCAGTTCTCCTCTTCCCAAACGCAGGAGCAAACTCGGTGGCGCAGAATCCCATAACTCTGGCAATCTGTCCAAACTGCATCCTCCCGATGTGGAGACTGGAAGCAAACGGCCATGAGCCAATCTGCAGCCACACCAAAGGACCTTCCAACCTTGTCATGCCAAACGCTAGCCATCAAATGTCATAGGAAACAGGTCTGATTCAGTCCGGGGATTTCTGGTTCGGTGAGTAGTTTACGGCCGCCGCCTTGGAAGGCGCCTCCCCTCAACCCCTGGCGACGAGCGGTGATGAAACTGAGACCATCTTCCAGATACGGGCCAATCCGCTGTCAGTATGCAGCTTTCCGGACAGCGTCAATTGACTTCTTAGCGTCCGAATTTTCGGAGAGTGTTGGTCCCTGCAGTCCACGCAGGTCCGGATTCGACTCTCCGCTGGCCCACCCAACGTCGAAACAGCACGACCAGCCACCACCATGGTAAAGGATTGATGGGATGATCCCAAATTTGTCCTTCCCGCCCGGAAGTCAGCTTTTCGTCTTTCTTTTGTTCCTGGGACATTGGCGGATCCAAATGGATCTTATCTAGGCTCAGGATAGTAACAAGGCCATTTCCAACCAATATCTCTGTCCTATCCTGCTGCAATGACGGAGTCTGACCTGTTTCCTGTGATTTCCGGCAGGTTCAAGTCCCATCTTCCACATCTGGTGAGCCCATTACTTCCTGATGCCCTTGGTAGTCCCTCTGCCATGACAGATAAGAGTCCCCCAATGCAGAAGCCACATCCATGAGAACATTCACATCCTAACTCCCTGTTAACAGCTGCTCTTATGAGGCAGTTAGCTCAATGACTGTGTTGGCTGTTCCTTACATTCAGTCATTCTCTCTTGGCTTGTGATATCTCCCATCCTGATTCACCCCCCCTGGTCGCCTTCCACCTTCGCAATCAACTAACACATCCTCAGCCCTTTCCATCTGCGATCATCACCACATGCTTCAACCACGGTTCCATAACCAAATCTAGCAATAGCACCTACCCAGATCAGTTCTTCTCATGGAACAACATGGTTTCATGATTCATGAGAGCATTAATGGAGCTTGTGATTTGATTCTTTCTAGCTCCTGGCACAGATCAGCCAGCCCAAATCCTCAACTATATAAAGAACCGTTTCCTCCCTCCAAACCCAAACTTGAACTCTTCCCCAAACACATCACAAACCCATCTCCCCGTCTCCCTCAAACCTTTCTGGTCCAAACAAAGCCCTCTCAAGCACCTTCAATCATACCCAACTCGATCTGACAACACCATATTGCATCTGACAACGCTCTCTCGGGAGCCATATCGATCTCTTGACACCCGGCTTCTCTCTGTCACCGACCTCATCGGGGTCCATTACCACCGACATCCGAGAGCTGCAATTGTGCAGGTAAGTCTAGTAGATCCCTGACAGAGGAAGCATTGAGTTCCATGTGTCTGGACTGGAATCTTGTCGACACATACCCTGTTCGCCCAAGCACACTTCCTTCCTGCCTTCCAATCCCACCGGTCCGCACATTGCAGCCCCAAAGCCATTGTTCTATCCCTCTCCCGATATATTTTTGAGGTTTGTCGAGGGACGGTGGTTGCCACCTTCCACCGCAAAGAGTCGGTGTGGGCCTCGTCCCGTCTCGCTTTCCCCCAAGTTTTCCAGCCTCTCCCAAGTGGGCTCCTCCCTGGTTTTGTTTTGTCTTCCCACACACGCGCTCTCTTCAAGTTCTCCTCTCCCCATCTCCTCGTCTTCTTCTCTCTCTCTCTCTCACCTCTTCATCCCCATCCCCATCACCCTCATCCCTCTTCTCTTCTTCAAACACCTTCAATCATCAGACACAAACGATCGAAGGCCCCTCTTTTGCAAACCCTATCCCTTATTTTCGCAGACTTTATCCCGGTTATTTCCTCGCTGAGTCCTCTACGGCCTCCTAATAACGCTTTCGCCGATAGCTTAGCGCTCAGGGCGAAAACCTTTCGACCGTTCTCTGCAGGAAGGCTTGGCAAGGTCGCTCTCTTGGGAGATCTCGTATGTTCCCTTTTCCCTTACCACTCGCAATCTATAGATAGCTCTTCGTCGTAGTCTCCTTAGTTTGCCACTTCGTCGCTAACATTTTTCTTATTCTCCAGCTTCCTTCACAATCGACGGCATTACGTCCGACACTCAGTGTCCAGCAATAGCATTCGCCAGCAAACAGAAACTGGTCATCGTCTCGTTTGGTAAGTGACAATTTCCTTGTTGTTTTCTGTTTTCCGCCCTTATCACGCGCCTCTTCGCCCTGAATGGCGATGGCGCCTTCCTCTCAGCAGTGCTTCCTTCCCACCACCTTTTCTAGGTGTGCCCAACAACTATTTAAGGCGAGAACTTCTCTCAACTCTGAGGCCTTCTCTTCTTCTCTTCTTCCTCTCCTTCGCTTCTCTGTATCCCATCATTTATCCTAGCTTCCCTCTCTACCTTCCCCCAGTTCACTCTAGAGGCGTCGCGCTCTCATCTCTCATCGCTTTTGACAGTATTCTTGCAGGAATAAACTCAAAATTCTAACGCTGTGACCCAGCAGACACAATTACCGATACCACTTTATCCTTCTTTTCATTTTGACTTCAGGCAAGGATGAGTCCCGTAAGCCCTAGTCGCTCCGGCGGCTCTCAATCTGGAGGTTCTCCTCCTCACCGATCTCCGTCGCGGGGACAGTCCCCTTCTCGCTCCCGAGCTGGTTCTACTTCGGGATCAACCTCGGGCGAGAAACCCCAGAATCCCTTTGGCCCTGGTTTGGGATTTGATCCGGCCAAACCTGAGCAGGCCCCTAAAGAGAGGAGGAATACCCGTGTTGACTTGCCCCCCGAGGCATACATGAAGGTAATGATCCCCCGTCTTCATCCCTCCAATGTGCCGTGAAACCGGTAATATCCAGTGGGCAACTAACATATTCCCTAGAGTCCTATTGATGGCCGCTTTGCCAAGCGTCCTGGATTCAACACTCGAGGCAAGCCCGCCAAGGTTGATATCAACCAGTTCGCTGTTACCGCGTTCCGGCAGCCAATGCCCAAGGTATATCAATATGATGTAAGTATATGAGAAATTCACATTCTTCATGACCGTTCTGCGCTTTCGTCCTGACAAGATAACAGATCACCATCTCACCAGTTCCCAAGCTTGAGTTGGCCCTTATCAAGAAACTGTGGCATCATGAGAAAGTGCAGAGGGAGCTCACGAAGAAGCCCGCCAAGTGGCTCTACGACGGAAACAAGCTTGCCTGGTGAGTTCTACGCCAGAGGTACATATGGAAGAGAAGTGATGCTAACCTTTGCAAGGTCCACCGTGTTGATTGATCGTGGTGAGATGCGACTACACATTGACCTGGACGAGGGTCGCCCTAACAACAGGGGGACCAATAAATTCTACTTCATCATGAAGAAGACGACTACCATCCAGATGAGTGCCCTTAATGCCTACCTTTCGGGGAGGGTCGCTTGGGACAATACGGTCCTTGAGTGTATGAGTAAGTGTTTTCTCTGCCTTCTCTGCAATTATTTTGAAATACGTCAATAACCGAATCTGACCTCGTCACCTAGACTTCTTGGACCATCTCATCCGCCAGTGGCCGTCTGAGAACTTGATTTCCATCAAGCGTAACTTTTACCGCGAGAGCGACAAACGTTTCCCCCTCTCTGGTTATAACGAGGTTGCGATGGGCGCCTACGCGTCGATCCGTCTCTGCCAGGTAAGCATCGGAAACCGCATACCCAGTCGCCTCAGCACTAACTTTTTGTTTAATAGTCCATTGCGACTGGAGGAACCGGACTCGGCATCAACGTCGACGTTGCGAACACAGCCATGTGGGCAGGTGGTCAAACGTTGCTGGAGCTCGTCAACGCTTATCTCCCCATGGTTGACAAGTCTTACAGAAATCGTAAGTACCGAGACCAAAACCAAACCAATCCCCTCCTTTTCTAATGACATATTCCATTTGCCTCAATATTCTAACAAATGGTTTGTTGCAGTGTCTCCTATCGGCCAGGCTAAGGCTCTGCGTCCGACGCAGACGTCTGTAAGGGGCGAGATTAAGCCCTCGTCCGCGTTCTTGAACCTCAAACGCTTCCACAAGTTGAAGTTTACCATGATCCACCAGGAGAGGAAGGCCGGGCAACGGCAGGGAGAAGGCAAGCAGCACACGCTGTTCCGCTTTGTCTATGATTCCAAGTTTGGCACTGAGGGAGCCACGGCCCAGACCGTCACTTTTGAGGTTCACGGACGCAGGGTTACCGTCGCCGATTACTTCAAGGAGAAGTACAACTGCCCCCTCAGGTTCCCAGGTTTCCCTATCATTGAAACCACCAAGAAGGGTTGCTATGTGCCTATCGAACTTTGTTACATCCTGCCGATGCAGCGTTTCCCTTTCAAGCTAGACGGCACGGATGTAAGTAATACCCCTCCTAATGGCGTTCATGCATAACTGGAAAAGACGAAGCCCAATATCAGATGCTAACTGCGGGGAAAAACAGACCGCCAAGATGATCAAGATTGCTGTCACTCGACCCCCTGCGCGCCGGAACAACATTATGGATCGATTTTCCAGCCTCGATTACTCGCGAGACCCATATCTTAAGGAATTCGGCCTAAAAGTCGATTCCAACTTCACGAGGACTGATGCCTGTATCCTGCCGCCTCCCACCATCCAGTTTGGCAGCGGCAAGCACAATCCTGGCTTGGCTGGCCGTTGGGACCTTCGCGGCAAGAAATTTTTCGTTGCCAACAAACGGGCCCTTCGCGCCTGGGGCTTCATTAGCTTTGACAAGCGAATTACGGGTCCTGTAGTGCAAGCCTTCGCTCGGACGTTCAAGCAGACGTACAAGAATCATGGCGGAAACATTACCGGCGAGCCCATGTTTTGGGATGAGTCGCAGTCGCCCAACTGTGCCGAGGCCCTCAAGAAGGCCCATGACGCACTTGTCAACAAATTCAAGGCGGCTCCCGACCTTATTTTCTGCATTTTGCGAAAGGATGGAGAGGACCTTTATGTTCGCTTGAAGAAGTCGGCCGATTGTCGCCTTGCGGTTCTTACACAGATGCTAATTTCCGACCATGTGAACAAGAATAACCCCCAGTACCACAGCAATGTGTGTATGAAAGTTAATGCCAAGCTTGGCGGTGCCACCAGCCGAGTATATAACTCGCTGCCTAGCCCGCCCTTCTTCAAGGTGCCGACGATGGTCATCGGAGTCGATGTCTCCCACTCATCCCCAGGAATTGACGCCCCTTCCATGGCCTCCATGGTCATGTCGATTGACGACAATGCCTGCCGCTATGCCGCCGGCGTTCAAACCAACGGACATAGAGTGGAGATGCTCACACGCCAGAACATTGAGGGCTTCTTCAAGACTTTGATTCCCGAGGTCCAGAAGGAGGTAAAGCAGCGACCGCAGCACCTTTACTATTTCCGCGATGGAGTCTCGGAGGGCCAGTTCGCCCAAGTAATCGAGTACGAGGTTCAGGCGATGAAGGAATTGCTCGGAAACAGGGGAGTTCACCCCAAGTTCACGGTCATCGTCGCTACGAAGCGCCATCATATTCGGTTCTTCCCAGCCGACTCACAGCGTGACAAGAACAACAACCCAGTTCCTGGAACCCTCGTCGAGCGCGACGTTACTCACCCGTTCCATTGGGACTTTTACCTCTGCTCTCATGTCGCCATCCAGGGAACTGCGCGTCCTGTTCATTACCACGTCATTCTCGATGAGGCTAACTGCAAGCCCGACGAGTTGCAGCGGATGATTTACGAGCAGTGCTACACGTACGCCCGTTCGACGACCTCGGTGTCGTTGCATCCGGCCGTGTACTACGCCCACTTGGCTAGTAGCCGAGCGCGTGCTCACGAGCGGATTCCGACTAGCTCGGGTCCCCGAACCGGCCCCGACGCTGTGAAGGAGGCGATCAGGTCTATGGCGCAGGGCGACACGCCTTGGAACCCACCCCGCGGCACCGATGCTGCCCCGCTCCTCGGCATGGGCTCTGGCGACGACGCTCACAAGGAGAACAAGTCTTACTTCCCTGGTACTATGTGGTACATCTAGGCTCTTGTTCGAGCGACCGACGGTGTTCTTCTTGGTGGTGTTGCACTCACACTTCAGTATTCGGATACCAAGGTGGCATTGCCGGTGAGTAGGCTTGGGTTAACGGCAGATCTGTGTTCTCAGATGTCCCCGCTAAGTCTCACAAAAGACGGCAGTGTATTTCCGGGCATCTGACCGCTGAAGAAGATGGTAGTACGGAAAAGGAAAACGGAATTGCGGAGAGGAAGCGATGGAGAAATGGGTGATGGGTAACGGATGAAAGAAGAGGGCTTCTTCGAGATCGGTAATCAATATATGAAATTCCATAATGTCTATTGCCGATGCGTAATTGCCCCTCTTGTGATGTTCTATGATGCTCTATAATGTGTTCCTGTCGCGTATGTTCATGTCCGCCGTCTCGCTAGTTACCAATTGCACGCTCGATGCCAATCGAAATTGGGGTGGGTAAAGCGGATTGATTCAACGTGGTAATACTTCTGTGACCTTTATTGAAAACTGATGGAGGATTCTAGGTGTGGTTGCCCATCGCTCCCGAACCTACTATCGGTGGCATCTCACAAAAAGGCGTACGTATTTTGGTCCTGGATTGAGGCGATGAATCGAACGCCCCTCTTCTAGCCGGCCTACCCTGAAGAAACTTCTGGGCGACGATACAACCCGGTCGTGCTCTTTTTTTTTTTTTTTTTTTTTTTTTTTTTTGGGGGGGGGGGGGGGGGGGGGATATTGTGGGGCCCCCAGCTGTCTGATACCATATGACGGAATGGATCGTTGGAATAGAGAGAATCGGTCGTATCGGCGATGGTTCCGTGGAGCCGCAGACGTGGGACGGGGCAGATGGAGGCAGGTGGGTGGATGGACTGTCTGATCAGCATAGCTGCGATCTTCACAGGGGTCCATGGGAGGGGGCAGGGTTGTTACGCCAGCCATGTGTTTATTATATCTACAGTTTCTCGAGTATGAATTCTTCATCTTCATCTTCACTTTTCTTTTCCTTTCATTCCCCCTTTTCCTCGCTATGCACAGTCCTAACCCAAAGCACTAAACCCAGCTCAAACTCATAATCGGCGTCTCAGCCCTCACCAACCCAACCTGCAGCGTCCCCGCCTCATTCGCAATATGCGTAGGAATCCTCGACGCCTTCCTCTCGAGCTTGATCCGGGGAACCTCGCCCTCGCCGTGGAGAAGCTTGTAGAACTTCCTCCCCGACAGGCTGAGGAACTGCGCCAGGCGCTCCTGGGTGACGTCCTCCTCCTTGACGACGCCGCGTTCGGTGGCTTCCTCGAGGGCGAGGATGACGTATTGCGTCGCGAGGGGTTGGGTGAAGACGCCTGCTGGCGGGGATTGGGAGGCGGTTTTGGCGGTTAGGGGGTGAGGGGCGGAGTCAGAGCCGCTGTTGTGAGTAGATACGTTAGTGGTTTGTGGGCTTTCGTGATGAGGTGAGAATGGTGGGGGGAGGAAGATGTGTGTACGTACAAGAAGAACTTGGTGTCGCCGCTGACGACGGCCTGGAGGAGGGCATCTCTATCCTCTGGGGTTTTGGGGATGGGCTTGCAGAAGGCGTGGGGGTTGACGCGGCTGATGTCTCCGGTGAGGAAGAGATGGTGGGCGGTGATGGTCGCTGGAAAAGGGCAAACACGTTAGCAATGTGGAAGGGCAAAATAGGGGACTTTAAAAAAAAACCCTGGCGGATAGGGAGATAGGGTGTATTTTGCTCACCGCCAACGGAAGGTCCGCAAGCGCGGACAGCAGCGACAGCGGCCTTAGTAGAGCAGTGCTCTAGCACAATGCGCAGATTGGGATGCGCCTCGTGGATCTTCTTGAGCATGGGGAGGAAGGCCTCCTCAAGCGTGAGGTCGGGCGGGCCGCTGACAGCCTCGCCGTGGAGGTTCAGGACGAGGTCGTGCTTTTCCATAGCGGTGAAGACGGGGAAGTAGTCTTCGATGGTGCTGACGCCATTCTCGGAGTTTGTGGTGACGCCTGGAACAACACTTGTTAGTAATTCGTGTGTTGGAACAGAAAACAGGGGAAGAGAGGGTGGGGAGGCAAGGGTTTACCTTGGGGATAGAGCTTTACGCCGGAGATGCCTGCCTTGGCAGCTTCAGTGATGACTTCGGGTGTCACATCCGGATGAAGCTAAGACGGGACGTGCAGTGTAAGCGACAAAGCTCGACAAAGGTCGGACGACATTTCTGGCTCGGAGGGAAACGTACGAAGAGGGACATGAGATACTTGACACTGTGGTCAATAGCTTCGAGCTCAGCCTTGTACTCCAAGGCTCTGGCTACAGTCGTAATAGGGGGAGTCAAGTTTGGCTTTTTTTGTTTCGCCGGGTCAGCGGGATGACAAGCTAAAGAGCTGCGCGATCCATACCATCACGTAGACAGTGTCCACCCCACCTTTGCGAATGGTGGGCGTGACGAGCTTCATCATGTCGCCCTGTCGCAGGTGGACGTGGAAGTCTGCCGTGGCGGGCAGCTCTAGGGATTGGAGTTCTCTTAGTCTCATTTTGGAAGAGCGTTGGAAGTGTATCAATTAGGTCGGGACTTCCTTTTTTTTTTTTTTTACGGAATATCGAAATGGAATTGTATGATCGCGATTTGAAGCTTTCGATATGCAAACATTTTTTCTGCAGATTCCATCGCGGGGCAGGAGCTATGGAGGGGTAAAATACCTTACGTAACCAGAGCTGCCCCGCGAATTCCAATTCCAATTTTGTGTGGGTGTGAGTTCTTCAAGTTTATTCACTTCGAGATGGAGAATATGACGCATGTTCTATTTAACATCTTGAGTGCTCCGAAGAATCGGGCCCGGCCGGACGGAGACGGCGACCCCTCTGGCTTCTTCGGGACGTCGGCTAGGTATGATCTTTGTTTTCCTTTTCCTTTTTCCTTCGGCTCCGAAGGGGACGGAGCCTCGGCAGAGAATTCCCCGAAACCCAATCGTTCATACTTCCACCGAGATGGTAATCGGAGTTAAGGAGCCAAAAAGGAAGCTTATTTGTCTGGGGTTGGACTGGCGGGAGTCTTGAAGTCTCGTTAAGAGGCGGGGGCATCACGCGGTAACTCACGACGGGTTTTCTTATCTCTGAAATGTTTCAATGACTAGTATTTACAGTTTCTATAAACTAACAATAAAATGCCAACCCCAATCACATCATGAGAACTAGCGTACTTGCGTACGTCGGAAGGGACTGCTGGTTCCCGCGGAGAATGTTTCGTTCTCCTAGGATTCGCGCCAAGGACCTTGGCAGGCTTCTAGAAGGCATCAGATGACAGATTCGGCGGGATTACTAGTTTTGTGCGAAGGAGTTCACGAAAGTACTCCGTAGCTCGGTACTTTGTACTTTAAGCTTCGCTGTTTTCCTGGGGCTGGTGATAGTGAGGTTGCATCATGATGGGTTTAGGACGGGTTTGTTGGTCGCGCCTTGGTTGGGAGGATCACAAGCTTTCGGTTGGTCAATTCTAGTTTGGGGTGTTGAATGGTTATCGTCTTAATTTTTTGGTTTCCTTTCTTCTAGAACAATTAGCGCTTAGGGGTTCACCGACGATGACGTGGGTCCGTGATCTTTGGGCGAACACAGTAAGCTCGGGGACGACCGAATTGATTAATGTCGTCATTTGACTCGTCAAGGATCGGGGAGATTGGGGCTTGACCCTTTGGGATGTTTTAAGTTACGAAGTAGGAATGCAGAGCGGAGGCGGGGCAAGAAATGGGTGCATCCCTTGATGCTCGAGTGAGGCGCGAGCAATTTATTACGGCATTTTTGGAGCGGAGTTGGGTGTATGATAACGAGAGGAAAGAATCCGGCGTCGCACGTCGCACATCGCACGCAGCACACATCGCCGACGTGGAAGAGTTTCCCCGTCCATGATGCGACGTCGCTGGTTGAAGGGTCCATCTTCTGGATACAATAGCTCATGGCTGGCACAATCAATCCACGATCATCTCTCATTGCTCAATGCATGCTCCCTGAGTTTCTCTCCCCTGCCAGCCAATGTGCTGCCTCGAGTCTGTCTGTACCTCCTCGCACGAACCGGCAAATCGTTCCCAGCGTGGCGTTCTCGAGCAAGGCGAGGTAGAGCTGAAAGCACGTCGGTGTCCAAATCAAGTATCTCGGTCACGCCTCACAGCAAAGAAGACTCAAGGAACATTCTTATTTTCCCTGCTCGGACAACGGAGAAGGAACACCGACGCGAGGCCCCCCCTTGTCACAAGGTCGATATATAGTTCGCGTTAACGTCCCCTCCGCCTCATCGCAAGCTCCATCCTTGGTAGTTTCTTTTTAGCTTTCTCTGTAACCCTTCCCCACCGGCCCCCCCTTTTCCACTTCGCTTCTCTCCCACCGTATCGCGTTATCTCCCGCCTTCACGTTTCCGTGATTGATCATGACATCGGGCATGGAGGGCATCAGGGTATTGAGGTGGGTGTGCCATTCGCTTCCTTCGAGAAGAACTCCGCCCCGCAGGACCACATTTCTTTTTCGTCGAATTGGGCTTCTCGGACGGGTAAAAACGGGGGGCACGTGAACTCTGAACCAAAGTTTGGTTGCGAAGTTCGAAGTCTGTGGAGGCGCAATGCATCTAGAAGCCTTCCTGTTTGGGATAAGCGACGGGCGGTGTCTGGCAAGTCTGCCAGGAAGCCCCGCGAAGTACAAAGGTACGAGGTACGATGTGGGTTCTTAGGGGTTGGGCTGAAGGCGTCATTACGACATCCTCCGCATTCAGTTCTACCCCCCGCCTTCATGAGAAAGCCTAACAGACGGGGCGGGTGCACACGTGACCAAGTCTCTCTCAACTTGAGTCGCGTCAATTGCCCAGTCTCGCCCGTCTAGCCTAGCTCCGAGCTCAAATTCAGGGTCTCCTACGAAGTAGTCGATTTTGCGACGGAACAAGAAATAGAGCGAAGGTGCCGACTGTCCGAAGGGACCTTTTGTTTTATTCCAAACGAGGCGCAGGAGCGCCCCTTGTCGTCATCATCTCTCTCAAATGTTACCGAGCAAATTATCACTATCAATTTGATCGCCTAATTCTGGAATACGCCTGTGCTGTCTCGTGGACGGGGATACCGGGCCCGTGTTTCCCAGCTGAGCTCCGGACGATGAATGGGCAGGACCCTCAAAGGTAAATGGAAGGATGGTTATCATTGTGAATGGAAATATGGACATCGGGATTTCCCGGATGCAGCCCAACTTGCCCAGCTTCCTCGACTCGGTTGTTGACGTGCAGTCATTTTGAGGCCCTCTTGGCACAAGCCAGCGATTCGCAGAACCCCTGGAATCAATCAATTCACTCACTGTGACAAGTCCTAAGTACACTCGCAATTGCTGCTGGTTATCTGCGCAGCGCGTGTATCTACAGGGGGGTTAGACAGCCACAGACAGGTGTCGCCAGCTAAGCATGAGGGTAGCGTAGCACTATCAATGACACAAGTCCGAGTAAGGTTTAATATCCAGACCACCACGGTCAACAATACCGTTTGTTCCATAAACTGAAAAAGAACTAAGAAAAAAAAAAGAATCAGATGCAAAAGAAAAGAAGAAACTACGGATAAAGACAATACCATCAAGGTAACACAAGCAAGTGACAAACAAGATACCCCCGCGGGGGGTGTGCAACCACCCATAGCTCAAGCCGCTATCAGGTGTCACGGAGGTCACCCTCGGCGCCACACTTTATTCTTCGACACCGGCTCGGGCTTTTCGCTACTGGTGCCCTTCATTCCCAATTAGTTTCTGCCCCCTAAAATCCCACTCATTCTCCCGTGTTAGAGCATTGCCACATCGTTGTGCTTTTTCCCTCAATACCACTGGTCGAGCGCGTTGGATTTCTCGAGGCGGCGGCAGGGGATTGGTTCGTTGGGCTCTTCGTTAGGCTCCAACGGCTCGTTTCCGCCAGGCGATCACTTTCTTTTTGGTATGCATCATCAATCAATCAAAGCAATTGATCCTGGACCCTGCGAGGCCCTCATCCAGTAGGAAGTCGAGTTCTGAGGCCCGCCTGCGCCGTGCTTGACCTTGAGCTTCTTTTTGAGTTCACCTGTCGAGCACCCGCCCGCCCTGGCTAGTGTCGTGGAGTGCAATTGTAAGGTTGTAGTGTACACTAGTCCTAGGCCTGGCTAGTTGGCCGGCCCTGCGGATGCGGAGATGGAGACTGGGGACTGGGGACTGGGGACGGAGGAAGACGGGGGTACGTACTGAGATCCGCCCATCTGAGAGAGAGTTCCTCGGAGTACAGCCCGGAGTACTCGTGCTATCATGGGCGACTACTTTGTCCGTTCGTACTTCCATTTGGTTGACATCATCGATGGATTCACACGCTACAAAGTACTTGCACATACCATTCCCAAGCACGAGGAATAATACCGAGTACGCGACACTACTAACAGACACTGCGTTATCGAACTAATCGGCGATTTACACTACTCAACACTACTTCGTTCATACGACTCATAGTGTACAGCGATCCGACACTGCACTAAATGCAGGACAAGACGCCGGTGCCCGCAATCCCCACTCTTATTGATCTCCATCATTGTCCAGCCCCGAACCAGCCCCAAGCCCCAGACACAACCCCGACCTCTCAACAAGGTATCTTCAAAAGTATCCCAGCCGTAGATCCCAGGTATTCCGCCTGGCTTGGGGGTGTGGGAACATGAACCTTGGCTTCCCGTTCCCATGTTTCTTCTCTCGGAGGGTATCGATCAGCGCAACCATTCTTCCTCAAGTATCTGTCGCAACGATTATATAGGAAGTGTACTCCCCCCCTTCTTCCCCAATTGCACGACCCTTCTTTTTTATTTTTTATTTTTATCCTCTTATCCTGCCGTCCCACTCTTTTTTGACTGCGCTAAGCGTTTGATCAATTGATCCTGCGCTATTCCCAAACCCATCGGTCTCCCAATCTAGCTCTTAGCTAGGCTAGCCTTACATTTTTGTTAAACCACTTGACCTCCCTTGGCCACTTGACCACGTCGGCTCGACTCGGCTTGACGACTTGACTCGACTGCTACACTGCAACTCTGGTTGCGACAACTCGCAACCACCCTTACCCAAGGGATTTCGCCTTGCTACTTACTACCACCCGCGATCTGCCCTGCGCCGCCAAGCCCTAACTGGCCTCAGGGGAATCACGGGCAAAACATAGAAGAAAAGAAAAGACAGACAGAAAAATAGGTCCAAATTCAGCCTACCCGTAAACATCGGATCCATCTGATACCTTCCTCTCCAATCGGAAACTAGCCTTCTTTTCCACACATATATAGCAGCCTCACCAGATCCCGGACCCTGCAAGACCCGGTTGTCGATAACAACTACCCTGCCAGTACGAAGTAGACATTGATCTCCACTCTGCACCTGGGACGGTTTAACCAAGCAACCATTCCGACCATCACCGCCGCCGCATACAACCTCTCTTTATTACCATGGACGTACCATAACACAGCCGCCGATCCAAAAGACGACTGCCGCTACTACTACTCCTACCACTTCCAATTCCAAGGCTTATTCTCTCGGTGTCCGTTCCAAGACATCGTCCACTGCATGAGGGGTCATCCCCACACCATAAAGAATCTCGGTCTTTCACTCCCAAACTTTTCTGAACCACCGGGGTTTCTGGCCGTCGACTGTCTACTCGCATTTACAGCATCCCCGTGCAGCAGCTTTCCAGCTCTACCACGAGTACCATTACTACCGCATGCACAACTACTACGACTACCACTTCACCTACTACTACCACAGCCATTACAACAATAACGCCTCCTATTACTTCTACTACTCCTACTACTACTACTATCACCACTACTAGAACTACTCTTACCATCAAGATTTACTATTAAAGAAGAGCTGAACACTTTAGTTTCAGTCTTTAAACATCCATCATTCTCACAACACATCATACCATCAATCAGTATCACCTTTGCTTCCCTCTCCTCCGTTATTTCCCACAATTCCCATTCTCACGTGCCTCACTCCTCCCGGCCTCCCAAAAACTGCAGACTAAACCTGTCGTGTCGCCGGATCGACATCTGAACCACAACCCCTTCTCAACCACAGACGTTGGGCTTTTGAAATAAAGGCCCATCTCCAAACCAGTGACGGTGGCGGTGTCAAAGAACAACATCCAACTACCCCAACTCCCGCCCGATAGCAATTGCCCCTGTTTTCTTTCCAACCTCGAGTTTTGTTTCTGCGATTACTGGCTTGAGCGACGATTCAGTCCTCCGGTTAACGACCCGATCACGACCACAACAGCATCATCATCAACCACGACGTCGACAACAACATCCACCCCCGAGAGCCTCCCCACGCCGTTCACAATTCCTTTCTCCGAATTCTGCGTGGATCTCGATCCGGAACCGGATCCGTGTCCACCTCCTCCCCAACCTCAGCAAACGGCAGCGCCGACAGCATCCCTAATCCCGATCGCACCGGCACCGGCACCGACACCAATTCACATTGCACCAGCGCCAGCGCCATCGCCAGGGCCAGCGATAACGGCATCGACAGTTACCGTCACAGCCACAGCGCTGACCACGGCACCAGCGCCAGTCACCCTAGGATCGCATACGGCCTCGCCGCTCCTGCCGACGACCGTATTCGACTTCGACTTCACCGACCCGTCGTATGGGTACAACACGTCGCCGGCGCTCTCGTCGTCGACCTCGTCACCATGGATTCCAATCTCTGCCACGGCGTCACCACACGGCAGCGCCGTCTCCTATTCTTCGTTCGGCTCTCCGATGCCAGATCTAGAGCTAAACCTCGCGGAGAGCCCTGCGGGAAACTACGTCTTGTCGCCGGCGGCTAGTACGTCCATGTCGTGGCCGGCTCAACTTAATGCTGGTTACGGTCTCGGATTTACTACTACTACTACTACCCGCCCGCCGACCCTCATGTAAGTTTCTAGCTCTTCCTTATTTTTTTCCCTTTGATTTATTTATTATTATTATTTCTTTTTGGCCATCTGGCTGACTCTGATTCCAACAGTACGCGGTCCAACGTTGTCGGCCAAGACACAAGTGGCTCCGCCTCGCAGTGCGACGTCTGCTCGCTCTCCTTCCCCACCCGGAAAGAGCTCAAGCGTCACCAGAGCGTAGCCCACGAGAAAGGTCTGGCCTTCAAGTGCCGCATCGAGGGGTGCATCAAGGCACGCACGGGTCACGTCTACAACAGGCGCGACAACTTTGTGCGGCACCTCAAGACGGCGCACGCGGACGCGGAGGATTTCGACGTCGAGGAGATGGTCAAGAGGTGTGGGTTTGTGAGGGGCGCCGAGGGAGCGAAGGATATACGGCGTAGGAAGTAAGAATTGATGGTTCCCTTATGGGGAAGGATGTTCGGGTTTTTCTTCTTTTTCTGAGAATCGGAAATGGTCTTGTACTGTTTGTGTGATGCGTTGGAGGCATGGAATGGTGTCTTGGACTGTCTTTTGGTTTTCGGGGATTGGCGAATCTTCCTTTTGGGGGGCTTGATCATTTTATTTACCTTGCCTTACTTCCTTGCTTCCTCTCCTTCACTTTCCATCTTTTCCGACTCTTTCACTTCCGATGGTGTTGAGCGTCGTTTTACGATCACGATTTCTTCATTTTTCATTTTTCTCTTTCTTTTCTTTCTCTTCTTTTCATGAACTTGTTTTTCTTTCTTTTTTCTTTTCTTTTTTTATCGGGATACAATTGCTATTGGGGGTCTTTGTCTAGGGACACGGGACAATTTCTTTTTTTCCTTTTCTTTCATTTCAAGCCAAGCCGCGTTGATGTTACCTGTGCTGTGTGGTGTTAAAGCCATGGTCTAACGACACGAAAAGCGGACTTCATCTCGGTGTTCTTTAATTTCCGAGGTGGATGTTCGGGCGCGAAGGGGTTCCGGCCGGAGTTCTTGTCCCCCGCAGCAGAAGTCGTGAGTTTGACACACGAAGACACCTTGGCGGCTTGAATATTAATATAAAAATCTTCGGCCGGATTTGAAGGATTCTCGGTGACCGATGTGATGAGTACGAGGTATGCTTTGAACTCTGATGGCTCATAATTCAAACGAACATGAACTATCTTCCCTCGAGATCCCTTTTCATTGCGTGACCTTCCGAAACTGGAGCTTTCCTCCTCCCCGCTCGTGGTACAGGGAGCCAGTCTTGGCCTGTATTTTGCAATTTAGTGTCACAATTTCTGCTCTTCGTCCTTCTTTGTATCTCGATGCCTCGCGTCTTTGCTGAATTGGTGCCGACGTCGGTATTTCTCCTCCCTGCAAGCCAGGTTCGTACGCCGAGGAACACTCGAGAGAATGGCATCTCATTGGAAATGACGCGGAGTTCGGGATTTGCGGCCTGGGCGAAATCTTGGCGGCTCCTCTCTTCTCTGTTGAGATTGTTTTGGAAACGTAAAACGTCTGCCATGTTGAGAAATTGATTCACATGTCTGGGATTCGGTCGTGGACTGGCGGGCGGCTGTTGACACTTCCTCCATGTGTCTGCACCTGATCAATCTTCGAATCAGTTGATGCATCTCAACGGTCTTCACTCATTCCTGTCCAACTGGTGGGAACAAGTGCATCGTCGAGTTTGTCTTCTTTGCGTATAATCTGCATTGCTCGTTGTTGTTACGACTTTCGCGCCGCATCAGCCGATCAGTCCTTGCTCTGCTGAAGAACAACCCCACCCGAATTTGACCTTCCCCTGGAGGGAGTCTTCATCCACCACAGACCCTGTCGCCCTGAACAGCGCCAGCGCCATTCGAACTTAAGACGCGTCATCTCCCATTCAGTGCTCATTGACTTTCCGTCATCCCCATCCCATCCACCTTCATCACCACAAACTTAAAGAGAACCACTATGGCTGGGTTTTTGCGCGGGAAGCAGACGGGCATGCAGCATGACCTGTCCGCGAATATCGCATCCACCGACTTCTGCCCCGACGACCTTGCTCGGTACGGAATTAACTCTCAGATCAGGTATGTCTGCCAGTAGTGCCAACGGGCAACAGGTCGAAGCCACCTGGCTTGATCACAGCCTCAGTGTGGTGCAGGCCTTTTGCTTGCCCCTCTGTGCGTGCCCCTCTCTCATCTAAACTACCTTTGACCCCTCTCTGCCTTGCCCCGCACAGGCCAAGCTCCCCGCCCCCGCCGAAAAAGGGGAAAGAGAAAATATCATGACGTCAACGAGGCTGACCCCAGGGTTTCAATCGGAAAAATAGCTGCCTTGCCTACGACCCCGTACAATCGCTATTAGCAGTCGGCACGAACGAGAGTAAATTCGGCGATGGAAAGATTTACATATTCGGGCAGCGACGCGTGCAAAAGACCTTCCAGCCCGCGAAACCCACGTCCTTGCGCTCGCTGCACTTCACGGGGAATAAACTTGTGAGCCTCGATAGTCGGAACGAGCTGACGATATGGGATTTGAATTCGGCCAAACGCATCGCCGGCGGTATTGTGCCCGGCGGCGGCGTGTGCATTGCGACCGATCCCATGCTGGATTGGGCGATGCTGGGGCTCACCAACGGAGATATACTAGCCTATGACCTGGATCGGGAGAGGATCGCGAGGTCGTTTCGGCTGCCGAACTTTTGGAAGGAGAGGGACCCTCACGCGAGGCAGGTCCAGATTGTCGACATCGCCTTTCACCCGAGGGATATTGGGAAGCTGTTAATTTCCTACACCCACGGCGCCGTCATCTACTCCATCAAGCAGGCCCAACCGCAGCTCTTCTTCGAGTACGTCTTGCCACCCGGCGCTCCGGGCGGGAAGGCTTTTGCGACCGATACGACGAGGACGCCGAGACTTACGCATGCGCAGTGGCATCCTTCCGGGACCTTTGTGTTGACGGCCCATGATGATGGGAGCCTAGTGTTTTGGGATACGAAGGAAGGGAAGCTGCTCATGGCGAGGACGCTGATGGACATGAGGGTTGACCAACCAACGAGGCAGCAGCCGGTGCCAAAGATGATTGCGCCCTTCACGAAGATTTCGTGGTGTTGCAAAGAGAATCCCGACGATACTGGCCTGCTGATTGCTGGTGGCCACTCGCCCGAGGATCCTCAGCAAGGACTGACGTTTATCGATTTGGGCCCGACTCCCATGTACGCTACGTCGTCGTGGCAGGCCCTATCGGATCATTTCTGCGGGAGGAGACACATCAGCCTGCCCTTGCCTCCGGGCGTCCAGGTCGAGGACTATCAGCTGATTGCGCGATCTTCGCCGCACTTTAACGGCGCTCAGGACCCGATTGCCATCATTGCGCTGTTGACATCTGGCGAGCTGCTCACATTGAGCTTCCCTTCGGGCTACCCCATCAGTCCTACGAATCAGCTACATCCATCTCTGCACTTTGTACACCCGTTCGTCACGAAGGTCAATGTTGCAACCGTCGAGCGGACACGATGGCTCGGCATGGTCGAAACGAGAAACCAAGGCGACCCCATCCTAACGGGAGGAGCCGAGGCCGTGAAACCCAAGAGGAAGTTCGAGAACCGGACTATCCTTCAGGTCGCACACGCTGACGGCACCGTTCGCATCTGGGATTCCGGCCATGGCGACGACATCGAGAACGACTCGCAGCTGCAGGTGGATGTCGCGAGGGCTATATCGAGGTATGACAGCGTCGAGATTAGCGCCATGAGCATGGCTTCGAGCACCGGCGAGTTCGCCGCCGGTACGACGGCCGGTGAGGTTGTTATCTACCGGTGGGGGCCGAACCAGTTCTACGGTCGAGACAGCGCCCAACCGCACGAGCCAAACCCGGGCGGTCTCACCGACATCACCTCGCGCGCCGAACCGCCCCTGAAGTCCGGCCTCCAGCCCTTCACCCTGTACGACATGGCCAAGGGCTCTATTACCGCGCTGTGCGTGTCCGACGTGGGGTTCGTCGCCGCCGGGTCCGAGGGCGGCTTCTTCAGCATCATCGACCTGCGTGGTCCCGCCATCATTTTCCAGGCGTCCTTGTCGGAGTTCGCCAAGAGCGAGAAGCGCTCGTCGTTCCTCAAGGGTAAGACGACCGCCCGGAGGGAATGGCCCGTCGAAGTCAAGTTCGGCGTCATGACGCTCGAGGGCGATAGCTACTCGAGCATCGCGTGCTTCGTCGGCACCAACACGGGCAAGGTCATTACCTTCAAGCTGCTGCCTGCTGGCGGGGAGGGGTACACTGTCAAGTTTGCGGGAGTGGTGGACTTTGGGGACCCCATCGTTGCTATTTGCCCGATCGTCGCGGATACGGGGAAGATTGCTTCTGCTACGGGTCCGGTGGTGGCTGGTTTGAGGAGTGGGCAGCAGGTGAATGGAGTCTTGGTTGTTGGTAAGTCACAATTCTCTTCCGAACTTATTCTTTCTTTTTCTTCGGGACACACCCTCCTAACAAGCTACCAGTCACGCAAACGGAAATCCGCGTCTTCAAACCCGCAACATCCAAAGGTGCCTCCAAATCCTTCGACGACATCCTCTGCGACGCCGCCTCCGTCACCGAGCTCGACTACCGCGGCACCGTCATAGTCGGCGTCTTCGGCGACAACACCACGCGCGCCTTCACCATCCCCGCTCTCAAAGAGATCGCCAAAGCGCCCCTTCCAGCACAACTTGACTCAACCCGCCGCTCCGCCACCCTCGCCACTGAAAACGGCTACGTCTTCGGCTGGAACGGCCCCAGCGAGCTCGCCCTCTTCCACGTCTGGGGCCTCGGCGAACCCCTCGCCAACTCGGCCGATCTCATCCTTAACCCTGAGCTCGCGACGCCACCGCGCCCGACGATCTCGAACCTGCAGTGGATCTCGGGCACGCAGTACGTGTCGCCGACGGATCTGGATTTGCTCATCGGTGGGCCGGATAGGCCGCCGAGTAAGAGGATGTTGGAGGTGGCGGCGGCAGAGCAGCGGGCTATGAGGCTTTCGCAGGGGGGTGCGGCGGGCGCGGCGGGTCCGAGTGCCGCCGGAGGGAGTCAGGAAGGGTGGGGGGAGTATTTGACGAGGCAGCTGAATGAGAGGACGGAGAAGTTGAATTTGATGGGGGATAGTATGGATAAGTTGCAGGATGCGTCGCAGGGGTGGGCGGATGATGTTAGTAAGGTTGTGAAGAGGCAGCAGAGGAATTTGGTGTTGGGATCGATTAAAGGGAAGTTTATGTAGATGCTGCAACGACTCGGAGAGAGGGAAAGATGTGTATGGTCTTGTCCTGGGTTTGATTTCATGGTGACCGATGGGCTTGCTCTTTAATTTATGGATTTTCCTACTCATGATGGAGGCCACTGTTTCTACTATTCTCACATTAAACGCATTCCATCCTTACCCGGCCGTTCATATCACTATGTTCATCAAATCCCCGGGGGCCATGTATATAGCACTACTTATCATCCCAAGGTCAAGGGGAGAAGAGAAAACATCAACAGTCATGCTCATTGAGACCACCCAAAACCAACCCCATTGAACAACTCCTCCTCGAACCCAACCGCCGTCGCATATGTCGTCCTCTCCCACCTCTTCCCAAGCCACTCAGCCTACCTACGCAAACGCGCTGAAAACACGTCAGGGCTGAAAGTGGTCCTATTCTCATTCATCATTGGCGCGAATTTTTAAGGAACGTGGAAGGGGGAAAAAAAAAAAAAAGGTGCAAAAAGCTCACCCCGGGCGTCGAAACGACCGAGGCTACGAAAAACCGCAGTTTTTACTGTAACAACCATTGAGCAAGTTTGGGGAAGCCATCCCCGAGTGCACCCTGCAGTGCTGCTCGGTTGGAAACTTTGGGGCTTGGGGGCGTATATAAAGCTTTGGTGGGTGACTGGCGGTTGGGGAAGGGGCGAAGGGAGGAGACTCCTTCCCTTTGGTCTGGGTGCCGGGTTTTTATTTGGTAAAGTGTCTCTCTTGCCTTCCGGAGAATCCTCCTTATCTATATAATCTAAACCTATAACCGCACACTACGCCTCTTGGACATCCCTGATCTTTCTGGTCCCGGCGCAGCACGGGATCCGCCAATCGCGAGAGACGGAGGAGCGCGGGAACGGTTGGGGGGGTTTGTGGGTGGGGGGGAAGG